GCCTCCTGGGTCATACAGGTGACTCCTACCCTTCACGCTGCTTTCGCTGGTCTGGCTTCCGAGAGCCCTGAATGTTCCACACGTTTTCCACACTTGTGGGGCTTTGTGCTCAGGATTTGTCACGGGGCGCTAAGCACATTCTCTACCACTTGTTGAAACCTGCTTCAACTCTCTAGCCCCTCTGTTGAGACCTACTTTAGTTCTCGGCATAGCTGTGGCTCCTCTGTTAGCACCTGCTGTCGCCGTTAGCGTATCAGAAGCCATTTTTGCCTCCAAGTCTCCGTTTTGATCATAAGGTGAAATTAAGTTCAAGTTCTCAGGCCTGCTGCCTGAGACCAGGATACAATTCAGTAGCTCAACGCTTGCTGCCTAGAATAAAACAACAGGCAATAAACTCACGTTCTGCTGGAGTTACAGACTGCAACATCCTAGGTCCCCCAAAAGCCCCCCAAAGCTCCCCTACCCCAAATCCCAGCCAATCAGCTTAAAGCGCTTTGTCTAGCTACGGAGATACAAGACAGTTCACTGAGATCAAAATCGACTGTGTTTAGCGGGTCAAAATGATGTAATGCTGCCCCCCCCCCCTTTTCTACACATGGCCACCTGGCTGTTACCTGGTTACGGTTTTTTGTATAAAAACCTGCCTTAGAAACAGACCCACGTCATATTCTGGCTCCCGAGTCCAGATTATGGCCCTGACCGTTCAGTCTTTGTTCAGCGTTCAATAAACTTCCATCAGTCTGAGTCGGAGTGATCAGTGGGCGGCTCTCCCTGAACCCATAACTCCCTGACCCCAAGTCAGCCTTTGCTTGCTGGCTCACTCTGTAGCCCAGGCTGGCCTCAACCTGACACAAACTGTAGTCGAAATCGAGGAGGGAGCCTCGACTGAGAAAATGCCTCCATAACATTAGGCTGTGGGCAGGCCTACAGGGACATATTTTTTTTTTTCAAGACAGGCTTTCTCTGCGTAGCCTTGGCTGTCCTGGACCTGCTTTGTAGACCAGGCTGGCCTCAAACTCCACAGCTATTTGCCTATTTCTGCCTCCCAAGTGCTGGGATTAAGGCCTGTGCCACTGCACCTGGCTGAGGGACATTTTCTTAATTAGAGATTGGTTGGAGCAGGCCCCCACTGTGGGTGGGCCATCCCTGGGCTGGTGCTCTCGGTTCTATAGGAAAGCAGGCCGAAGAAGGCTCAGCAAGCAGCCAGTAAGCAGCACCCTCCATGGCCTCTGCATCAGCTCCTGCCTCCAGTTCCTGCCCTGCTTGAGTTCCTGTCCTGACTTCCTTCAGCATGGACAGTGCTGTGGAGATATCAGCTGAATGAACCCCTCCTCCCCAAGTTGCTTTTGGCCATGGTGTTTTATCCCAGCAAGAGTAATCCTAACTAAGACAACGTGGGAAGGTTTCTGTGTAAACACAAATGTTCATTTCTCTGGCCCAGACATGTAGGTCTCAGATGTCTGGGCCACACACACATGCCCATTTCAGTGTGTAAGAAGCTCAGTTTTCCCAAGTGGCTGAACTGATACACAATCTACCAGCAGTGTGTCAGTTGACTTTTTTCTGGGCTTTGCTCTCACTAGTATCTCTATATTTTGGGGCCTGGAGAGAGGGCTCAGCAGGGAAGAGCATTGGCTCTTCTTACAGAGGATTCCATCCCCAGAGCGGCGATCAAACTGCCAGAAACCTCAGTCCCATGGGATCCAAGGCCTCCCTTTGGCTCCAAGGGCACAAGGCACATAAGGCAAAATTACCATGCACACAAAACAAAAATAAATATAATAAAAAATATCAAAAAATTAACCCCTCCACAGCCAAGTGTGGTAGTACATGCCTACAGTCCCAGTGCAAATGAGGCAGAGGCGGGGGATCAGGAAGTCATGGTCATCCTTAGTTACAGAGGGAGTTTCTGTTCCCGAGACCCCGTCTCTAAGGTGGTGAGAGATCCAGGAAGTGCCTAAACTGACTGCCAGCCTACACACACACACACACACACACACACACACACACACACACACACTCTTACTTATGATCATATGATGCATGCACTGGTCTTGAATTCTGGGAGTCATACAGGGGCACAAGATTGGCTGGGCTGAGAGCTAGTGACGGCTGCATCCAGTCAGCCTTGGTGGGTCTGTCATGAGTGTGTGTGAGCAGGGGGTGATGGTGAGCTAGGGTGCTGAAGAAGGCCAGCCAGCAGCCTCTGCAGGCCCAGTCCCCAGGACCACACCGATATAGGACTGCGTCCTCTCCAGCCCGTCTCTATCTCATGGCTTCCGCTGTTTCCCAACCTCTATCTAATTTTCTAAACTGATAACATCTCCCCTCCTGGACCACTGAGCTGCACCCCAGATCCTGACTCTCTGTTTGGTGGCTCTAACATTCGCAGTGACATCATGCCCTGTGTGTCCCCTTAAGAATACTCGCCCACTGGGCTCAGGGTGTACTCAAAGCATGTGGATCCCCTTAGTCAAAGTTTCTGAAAGGGGTTAGTGGGAGTGAGTATAGTTCAAAAACACACTGACTGTGGGCTGGAGAGATGGTTCAGCTGTTAAGAGCACCGGCTGCTCTTCCAGAGAACCCCGGTCCCATTCTCAGCACCTTCACGGCAGCTCACATCTGTAATTCCAGTTCTGGAGCCACAGACATATATGCAGGCAAAACATTCACACACACACACACACACACACACACACACACACACACAAAGGGACAGTCTTTAAAAGGCATTGTATGATAGGAGGCAGAGGCAAGTGGATCTCTGAATACGAGGCAAATCTGGTCCACAGAGTGAGTTCCAGGACAGCCAGGGCTACACAGAGAAACCCTGTCCCAAAAACAAACAAACAGAAAAAAAAAAACATGGTATGCATAGATGAAATTCTTAGGCTGATTAAAAACATGGTTTATAAATTTCTTAAATATTTCTGTGAAGCCCCTCTTCCTGAGTCACCGTGCATAGGTTCCAGGTTAGAGCGTGTGGAATCCCAGCCCTTCTGAAGCCTCATACCTGTGGGGAAATCTCGAGTGCCGTCTGGGTGGGGCCACCGTCCGCCCTCAGCAAGAGGGGTGCCCAGCCATCTGCGTCCACAGAGAGGCACCATTGCCAGATGTCCGCCTACCTAGTAAGTGCTGTCTCCCACCTCTGTGGTCCAAGTCAAACCTCCATACTTTAGTGAGGTCTCGTGTAACCAAGGCTGGCCTTGCACAAGGAGCAATCCTCCTGCCTCCGCTGTGGTTACAGGTACAAGTAGCCGTGCCCCACTTAAAGTCGGGTTGTTTTCACTTTTTTTCTTTTCTTTCTTTCTTTCTTTCCTTTTTTCTTGTTGTTGGTTGGTTGTGTAAGGAGCCAAACTGAAGCCATTTTGAATAAAACTTCCATTCTAAAGAGGGGTCAAATAAAGTCTGACACCCCAACCCACCTCCCTGGGTGACTGACATCCCACTTGCCAGAAAGAGACAGACCTGTGAACTGGCTTCCTGGTTGTCAGGTCGAGTCACGAATGCCGGGCAAATCGCCCCAATGCCAGGCAAGTGGCCCCACCACAGTTCAGTAACCCAACCAATGGGACCAGGGTCAGTGGATCACAAAGACATGCTCTCTTTTTTGATGCTTTTCCAAGACAGGGTTTCTCTGTGTAATCTTGGCTGTCCTGGACTCCCTTTATAGACCGGGCTGGCCTTGAACTCATAACACTCTCCTGCCTCAGCCTCCCTGAGTGCTGGGATCATAGCTGTGTGCCACCACGCCCAGTTTGAAAGATTTGTTCTTAAGAAGTCTCCTATCCGTAAATCCTTATTGCTGGGAAAACGTAACTATAATTTGGCACAGATGCTTGTGGATTTCCGGCTTAAAATTCTTTGTAGCAACCTGGCTCAGGGTTTCGGTTCCACTTCTGAGTCTGTTCTGTGGCCCTGCTCCATCAGTAGTGGTCCTAGTCCAGTACGTTTTTGTCATATGAATGTTGGAAGATGCAGTGAGCTCCTGAATCTGCCGTAGTCCTTCCCTGGTCACTTTATGCTGCCTAGTTCAATAAAGATCTTGCTTTGCTGGGCACTTGTGCTTGCTTGCGTTGTTTTGGATTTTTGGACTCCAACAATTGGTTGGATTTATTTTGAAACAGGGTCTCACTATGTAGCTCTGGCTGACCTGGAATTCACTCTGTAGACCAGGCTGGCGAGCTCTGCCCGCCCCTGCCTCCAGAGTGCTGGGATTAAAGGCGAGCACCACCACTGCCTTTAAAGCCCACCATGCCATTAAAGCCCAGTTTTAAAATATGTCTATGATCTCTGCGCCAATGATGCGTGCCTCTGGGTGTGCATGCCTAGGGGTGAGGTCAGTCCTCGCCTTCCGGCTGTTTGAGGCAGGCATCTTGTAAGCTGCTTCATAAACCAGTCTCGATGGCTTGCAAACTGCTGTAGTCCAGTTTCCACCTTCTATCTTGGTTTACGTGGGGTCTGGGGATTTGGGCTTAGGCCCTAAAGCTTGCATGGCAAGCTTCTCCTTGAACGCCTGATCCCCCTGGCTCCACTTTCCTGAGTGCCGAGATTACAGGTGTGAGCCACCAAATCCAGCAGGAAAAAAAAAAGTTTTTAAAGGAAATCTGCAGCAAAAATAGAAACTAGAAGAGAGAGGCGGAGAGGCGCAAGCTCTGTTGCGGCTTGGGAAGGCTGGAGGGGATGCATTTCGCTGTTCTTCATAGTTTCGGGGATTCTCGCGCTAGCTGAGCTTCACGGTCCTTGCAGTCAGGACCATCTCTAGCCTCCACGCTGGCCTTGGCAGGCTTCAGGCTGGAAAACGGAGCCGAAACCAAAGCCGAAACCTGCAGCCCCCGGGGGGAGCGGCTGGGTGGTGCCCCGCCCCTCTCCGGCCCCGCCCCTCCGGGCTCTACCCGGCCGCCAGCCCCGCCTCTCGCAGGCCCCGCCCCCGAGCCCTGGCGCTGGCCGCGGTGCTGAAACGCGCGCTCCGCGGAGCCGGCCGGGCGGGGCCTGCGAGGGGGAGCGGGAGGGGCGGGCAGGGCGGCGGCGCAGGCCCAGACCCCGGCTGACCTAGAGGAGGTGGCAGACCTGAGCGCCTGCTGCTGTGGGCCACACAGGCTCCCGGGAAGCGTCTCCTGCCAAGCCGAGGCTGACCTTGGCCTGCTGCACTCCCAGCCACCCCGGGGGCATGCCCCCGCCGCACCCCGACCTCAGGCCGCTCCTCACACCAGACTGAGGACTGACCCACGGCCCAGCGCTGCTCCCTAGGGCTGTAGCCCCGCAACCAGCCAGTGCACCCCCGTCCTAGCCCTGGGCCTTCGCCATGGTGAAGTTGCTGCCAGCCCAAGAGGCCGCCAAGATCTACCACACCAACTACGTGCGCAACTCACGCGCCGTGGGGGTGATGTGGGGTACGCTCACCATCTGCTTCTCGGTGCTGGTCATGGCCCTCTTCATCCAGCCCTACTGGATAGGCGACAGTGTGAGCACGCCGCAGGCTGGCTACTTTGGCCTGTTCTCCTACTGCGTGGGCAACGTGCTGTCCTCGGAACTCATCTGCAAGGGGGGCCCTCTGGACTTCTCCTCCATCCCCTCCAGAGCCTTCAAGACCGCCATGTTCTTCGTGGCCTTGGCCATGTTCCTCATCATTGGCTCCATCATCTGCTTCAGCCTGTTCTTCATCTGTAACACAGCCACTGTCTACAAGATCTGCGCCTGGATGCAGCTGGCGGCAGGTGCGCAGGGCTGGCGGGAGGGCGGACTGGCCGACTCCGCCGCACCGCTGCGGCTCCCATGGGGGGGGGGGCCCTGGGCCTCCTACCCCATGTCCCACAGACCATCGGGAGTACAGCTGGGCATGGCTCACACCTACGGTCCCAGCGCCTGGGAGATAGAGACGAAAGGATTGCTGTGAGTTCCAGGCCAGCCCGGGCTACAGTGTGAGACTCTTGTCTTGAGGAGGAAAATCTGAGAATCTAAAAAAGGATGAGGCAGGGACTACAAGATGGCTCAGCTGGTAAAGGCGCTTGCCACCAAGTCTGACATCCTGAGTTCAACCTCCAGGACCCACATAATGTGAAGAACAGATTCCTCTGACCTTTACATATGGCCTGTGTTCATGAGAATGGACACCAGGGTCCAAACTGCTTGGTCCCCTCATGCTGCAGAACCACTGAGCCAGAGAGGAGTGAGTTGGGGAGGGCCGCCTAGCTCTCGGTAGCAGCAATCAGATGCACCAACTCCCAGACCACCACAGCACAGGCATGCTGCTCCCAGAGGGAGGCGGAAGGCTGTTGCCATGTGGCCTAGAACCATGGTGAGGGCAGTTCCCAGATCCTTGACCCTTCACTCCCTTCCTGCCTCCTTCCTGATCTCCCGGAAGAAGAGTCCGGGATTTTGGGGTGCCGCTGTTACGCTGGCTGTGACCCCCTCTTTCACTGTGGAGTGAAGGTCTTTGTCCCGGGAGGCGGACTCTGGGTTGGGTCAGGAAGTAGGCTTTTGTTTTGTGAGGTGGTTGTGCACAGGCTGCCTGGGGCCCTTTCACACTGTCAGGTAGGCAGCTGCTTGTGGGGGCCCAAGGCCCTCCTGCCTGTCTTCCTGCTCCAGGCTCAGATGTCTGTCTTGGTTCTTGGGACAGCTCATCTTGTTCTCCATTGACGCTCAGAAAGAGATGGCCTACCACCCATCAGCAGCCTGAGCTGCTGGTCAGCAGGTCTCTTAGTCCCTGACCACACACAGATGTCCATCTACAGTGGTGGGACTGGAGACTGGAGTTAAACTGTCTGGTCATCTTTGGTTAAAGTTGTGTTACCTTGACGGGGGTCAAAGGGTGGCCCATGAAACAGGAGTCTGAATCTCAGGCACACAGAGCTGGAGGGAACCCCAGCTGTAGGTGAGGAATTAGACTGGCAGAGAGGATTAGAACTGGCCAAGGCTGGAGCAGACCGGCTGGCACACCAGGCCCTGGCAGAATTAAGAGCCGCTCCCCCAAAGCCAGGAGCAGCTGTAACCCCAGCACTCTGGGAAGCAGAGTTCAAGGCCAGGCTGGTCTACAAAGTGAGGTCAGGACAACCAAGGCTACCCAGAGAAAGCTGTCTTGGAAAAAAAAAAGTTTCCCCCAAATTAGATGCATTCTAAAACCGTTTTTATTAAGACTCCCATTTTATAAGCATGATTCACAAAATACATGGTGAAGCCTCACCACAACCCAGTAGTGGGTTTTCCTGCATTTGCAAAGTCCTGGTGCAGCCTCGTTGCTGGGCAACTAGCAAGGGAAGGTGGACCTGATTCCCAGTGTGACAGCCAGGCCTCACCTGGCCCGGGCACCTCCCCACCCCATCGCCAAGCCTCGGTGGGCAGTAGGGGCAACAGTCCCTGGCGGTCCTATGGGGAAGGGGTGTGAGGTGGGTGCACTCGCCAGCTGGTCTACTGCGGGGCTACAGGATGTGGAGAGGCAGCACATTTCCCAGGCTGTCTGTCCCCATCGGCATCTTCCAACAGGTGTGCTTGCTGAGCAGGCAGCGGGAGGATCACGGGGCCATCTGAGCCGGTCGCTAACTGGGTCACAGAGCTGAAATGCTGATAGCAGAGGTGGCTAGCTGCCATCCCATGAAGCATTTATGTGCAGTGAGGACAATGGCGGTGTCATGTTCCGCTCAGTGTCGGCAAGGGCAGTGCTGAAGAGGTGTGCCCCGGAGCCGGCACCTGGGGGATACATCTGTTAGCTCAAATTTTTCCACCAAGCCAGAGGACTGTGTAACGGCAGAGCAGAACTGATGGTCCTGCGGAGACGGGGGCAGGGAGGCCTTTAAATGCCGGTGGAGCTTGGGGTGTAGGCTAAGCCTGGGCTCTGCTGTTTTCCCTGAATCTTGGTAACCTGTCTTAGTGAATTTGGGTTACCATGACAAAGTCCCATCAGTGCCTTAAACAACATGGCTCCGGAGGCTGGATGACTGAGGTCAGGCGTTGGTACAGTGTGGTTCCGGCGAGGGTCATCTTCTGGCCTCAGGCTACTGACTTCTCGCTCTGCCCACACAGGATGGAAAAGGCAGGAGGTCTCTCTGGGGTCCCTTTGCTAAAGGTGCTAATCCCATGTATGAGGGCTTCGTCTCATGATCTGTTTACTTCCCAAAGCCTCCCCTTCTGATCCCATCACTCTGAGGGTAAACGTTTCAACATACTGGTGTGGGGGAATTCAGATCATCCACCCATCACCCATGATCTGTAGGGTGTGGTACCCTGTCCCTTGTGGGTCCGTCGAGGATTCGAGGATGCGATGTCTGAAAAACATGTTGCAAGTGCTTGGCAAACGTGGGACCCACAGGCAGGGGTGCTGAGGAATGAGGGCCTGCAAGTGGGTGGCCCGAAGCACAGCCGCTTGCTCTCTGCCTTCTCAAGTCACAAGGGCCCTGCTTGCACTTGGCTGTTTTCACTGTCATTATTGCAGAGGGAAAGAGCATGGGACATTCTGGAAGCAAGTGAGACAGCAGGGATGGGGCTGGCCCCCGTGCACCTCCGTTCAAAGGCCCTGAGTTGTAAGGTGCGCTGTGGAGAGGTGAGGTTCTGCTGTTCAAAATGCTGCCTGCCTCACCAGTATTATTTCAGAGAGGAGGAGCAAGCGTCTCTCAGAAGGCATGCATCTTGGATGGGATCAGGTGCCCGAGTAGGCAGGGCCTTACCGAGTCCGGGGTGAGACAGGGAGGAGGACAGAGGGCCGCCTGCCGTGGGGCAGAATCACCCTGATTGATGCCGGCTCCCAGCACTCTGGCTTTGTGGGTCTCAGCTTTTCCACTTGGATTTTACCTGGGCAGAAAGAGCTGCCTCTTCTGTTTCCCAAGGCTAACCCAGAGATCAGGGAGGTGACAAGAGCAGTTCAGGGTGTGTGGGTGGCAGCCGGGGGCACGCCCAGCCTGACGCCCCTGGTCCCTTCTTGTCTCCTTAGCCACGGGCCTGATGATCGGATGCCTGGTCTACCCGGACGGTTGGGACTCCAGCGAGGTGCGGCGCATGTGTGGTGAGCAGACGGGTAAATACACACTGGGCCACTGCACCATCCGCTGGGCCTTCATGCTGGCCATCCTCAGCATCGGGGACGCCCTCATCCTCTCCTTCTTGGCATTTGTGCTGGGCTACCGGCAGGACAAGCTCCTGCCTGATGACTACACGGCAGATGGGAAAGGTACCTGTCTTCCTCCACTGGGCTATCCTTGCCTGGGGCTGTGGGTGGAGGGGTGGGTGGGGTGAGTGCCTCTAGGTCCCTTGAGCTGAGACAGGACTTGACACCATGGCTGTCCCTCCCAGAGAAAGGCCGTGAGCGGAGGGTTGAAAGCTGGCAGGCTATCCAGAAGAGACCGAGAGCAGAAATGTATGACTGGGGGAGACAGATGGAGGTTCTCTCAGCCCCTCCTCCCCCAGGAGGCCCTGAGGCTGGGTTAGGTCATGGCAGGGGCGGGGCTGGCAGGTGGAAAGAGATGCTGAGGCAGGCTAGGCGGGGCGGCCCTGAAGGCATGATGGTGCTGAATGGCCAGCTTTTCCCAGGCTCCCTTTTGAGTCTGTCCAGCTCTGTTTGCCCCCAGCCAGCTACTGCTGACACCGGGGGCCGCATGGATCCCTGGGAAACCTCCCCTGACTGCTTCACACTGGCCTCCTGCTGCCTGGGATTTCACATTTGTCTACATTTGGTCCTGCCTCCCAGCTGTCCTGAGGGGCTTTTCCAGTGTCGGTGTCCACCTTGTCTCACAGCCTCAAGGATTGCCAAAAAACTGTTCCCAGCAGGTGGCCACCACTACACCCGAGGCACCCTAGGGTCCTCCCAGACTCAGGAGGGCAATTCCATCATGTCAGACCTTGACCCTGGACTAGAGGCGAGCAGTGGGCAGCCTCTTGCCCCCTGCTGTGCCAGGACCAAGAACACTCCACATAGGAGAAACTGGAAGCCCAGAGGCCAGGCCTTCTCTGGCTAGCCTGGAGCCCACCCGTCTCTGTGACTGGTAATAGGGACTGTCAAAGCTGGAGGAGACCTCTTTCCTTCCCCGGGGCTTTTGTAGCTGCTGGGCCCCCTGAAGAGCGGATTTAGAGAAAGGAAAAGAAGCTGGTGTTCACAGAGGGCCTTCCCCATGCAAGGCTTGGGTGATGTTTGCTTCTAGGCCATTGTTATCACCATTCATGGGGTCCCTGTGAAGCAATGTGAAGGCTGGGGTCCCACTCTGCTCAAACAGCACCTTCCCTGGAGCTTTTCCACCAAGTGGCCGTCGGGAGCCCTGTGTGCAGTTCTCAGGCTCCAGGCAAAGCTGTCCTAAAGTCTGTCTTCTCACGTGCAGTGTGCTCTTCACTGTTTGCATTCCTTCTTCTCCAAACTCCCTCTGAAGAGCCTCTTACATAGTCTTGTTTCCTGATTAAAATGGGGTCACCACCTTCTCCCTCCCTTTCTGGCTCCTCTTAACCCCACACACCTGTCTTCAGCCTTTCCAGATTTTTTTCTCCCCACCTTTTCTTCCCGCCATCACCCGGGTCTTGCTTGGTTTCTCTGATGGCTGTGTGCATCTGTTTAACATTCTCCAGAACTGGAGGAGAAGAGTCAGAAAACTTACTTCTCCCCAGTAAAGCCAGAAGTCTGGTTCCGCTCTGCCCTTCCCTTCCCGGGTAGAAAACAGAGCAGCCATGGTGGCTTGAAGATTAACAGAGCCGCTGGCTTCCAGTGTCAGAATAGGTTTCCGTGTTTGACTCCACTAGCTGACTACTTCTTTTGAGCCTCAATTTCTTTCTTTCTTCCTTCCTTCCTTCTCTTTCTTTCTCTCCTTCTCATTCTTCTCTCTTTCATCTCCTGACCCTTTTTTGAGACAGGGTTTCTTTGTGTAGCCCTGGTTGTCCCCAAAGCACTTCATAGACTAGGCTGACCTTGAACTCACAGAGATCTGCCTGCTTCTGCCTCCCAAGTGCTGGGATCAAAGGTGTGCGCCACCACTGTCTGGCTTATTTTCCCTTTATTTTCATTTTGTATGAATGGATGTTTATATGAATGGATGTATGTCTGTGCATGCTATGTATGGAGCCCAAAAGAGGGTTGTCTGATCCTTTGGGGCTGGAGTGAAGTTGTGAGCTGCCAGAGGGTGCTGGGAATGGAACCTGGGTCCTCTAGAGCAGCCAGTGGCCTTAACTGCCGAGCCATCCTTTTAGGTCTCAGACTTCAAATTCTGCATCCAAGCCTAAAAGCAATCAAGACTCTGCTTCCAATGAGTTGGTTTCATATTAATTATATTAATAAAGGAGAGGTTTGCGGAGGGCTGGGTAACATGCAGAAAACACAGATGTCACTCACTGAGATAGTCCTGCCTTACCTCTCCAAGAACCTTTCCTTTTCTGTCACCTCTTGGCCCAACAAGTAACAGCTCCAATGCCACTTTAGGCGCCACAGCTACAGTGTGGAAGTGTAAACAGAAATCACAGTCTGGTGAGGAAGGCAATCTCCTGACTTAGAATTACCAGCCGAAAATGCCACTGTCCTTCTGAAAGCCTACAAGGGGCTGCTCAGAAAGAGGAATCTGAGCGGGGTGGTGGTGGCTCACACCTTTAATCCTAGCCAGCCTGGTCTACAGAGAGAGTTCCGGGACAGCCAGGGCTGCACAGAAAAGCCCTGTCTCAAAAAAAAAACAAAACAAGAGGAGTCTGCTGAGCAGGTCTGCGCACGGGTCGCCTGCAGACAGGCCCGGTGTGGGATGTGAACACTGTTCTCTTTCTGCAGAGGAAGTGTGAAGCGACTGAGGGCTGGCGAGCAATTCTTCTGGCGGGTGAGTCTGCGGGGGGGGGGGGGGCTGACGGACGCTTCCTGGAGGGGGCGGCCTCACAGGACCCACCTGTTTGGGATCTTTGACCTGCAGGGGCCAGTAAGAGCAAACTTAGGTCTTGAGATGTAAAATCACCAGGATGTAAAATGGAGATGTAAAATCTCAAGTTGGTGGAGCCCTGAAAACAGAAAATGGTTGTCGGAAAGACATCATCCTGTTTTGGGCTCTTAGTTTCAAAAGAATGTTAAGTGATTTGTAAGAAACATTCTAGAGATCCTCATACAACAGGAAATGGGCCTCCCAGAAAAAAAAAAAGCAACGTTCGATAAAGCTGATCTGACGGAAATAACAGAATCGCCAGGGGGTGGTGGCCCACACCTTTGACCCCGCTGCCTCTCCGGAGTCCGCCGTTACCGTCAGCAGCTCAGGTGCTGTTTTCTAAACTCACCCTGGTTGGCTGTGGACACTTTCGCTGTTTCTGAGTGGAATCACCGGATCAGAGGGACTGCACTCTCTCCACCCACGTCCACATGTTCACTATGGTGCTGGTCAATCAGGAATTCACTGGGTGCTGGCGGCGCACACCTTTAACCCCAGCACTTGAGAGGCAGAGGCAAACGGCTCTCTGGGTTTGAGGCCAGCGGGGGTTATGCAGAGAAACCCTGTCTTAAAAAGCAAACAAACAAAAAATTATTCATGTAAATTTACATGATTATCTTGTGTGTGTGCGTGCATGAGCGTGTGTGTGAGAGAGAGAGACACCTTCCACCATTTGGGTCCTGGTATTGAACTTGGCAGTATTCAGGCTTGGCAGCAAGCACTTTTACCCACTGAGACCTCCTGCTGGGCCCTGCATTTTTAAGTTGGTTTTTAAGATGTCATTTTATAATCTAGAAGTCTTTTGTCTTTTCATTTTTCAGGCATTATTTCCCTGGCAAGGAAAGCTAGGACTTGGATCCTCCAGAGATGAAATCTTTCCCTCCACTTCCTGTTCTCAGCTCTTCCAGGTCTGGGGCCCAGAGTCTCAGCACAGCGCAGGGTCCCTGTCTCCTTCTGTCCACAGACAACCGTGCGCGGTTGACAGCCGCTACGGAAGTGCAGCGAGCCACATGACGACATTCGGGCTGAGGGCCACGGGGGTGCACACCCGAGACCAGGCTCCGTTCCTAGCTAGCGAGCCCCTCCAACAAGCCACTTCATCTTTGGCCTCTCTGCTTGGGAGCCTGTGTCTAGGAGCCTGAGCCTTGCGACTCTGGCCAATAGTGAAGAAATGGCTGGAAGCTGGGCTCAGCAGGGGCCCTCTGCTTCTCCCTTGTTTTCGTGTTGCTGCTCAGAGGAGGGTGAGGGAAGGAGACCCAGCATAGTTGAATTTGACTTCTCATGGGAACCCAAACTCACACTTCTGCAGTGCTCCATCCCGGAGCTGGCTCCAGAAATTTGCCGTTGATAAGAAAGCAAAATTTCACACAACTATGTAGCATTTTTATGAGAAACGTGGGTTTTGACGTATCAGGTGGGTGATCTTCGCTGGCCTCAGATTAGGTGACAGTTCACGGCCACACTACTCCCTGTTAATTTCCTTCAGGGAATGAACCTGAGAAACAGGATCCGGGCTCCTCCCATTTAGGACAGGTGCCTGGCGGTACCACCAGGGTGCTGAGGAGCTAGGGTGAGCATCTTAGTGTCCTGCTGGTGATGGAGGGCTGGGAAGGCAGCTCAGGGGATACAGTGCCTACCTAGCATGTACGCAGCAGGTGCCACTGTCCTCAGCGCTGGGGGGAAACGACAGAGAAACTACCGTAAAGGGATTTGATCTTGTCACATGGTCCACAGCAGCTGGTTTTTAGCAACGACCACGCTAGTGAAGGTTTTCAGCTCGTGACCAGGCCCTTGTACTGCGGAAGCCTCCTGATGACAGCTGGGCACCTGGGCAGCACAGCACCCTCCCTCCCCGTGTGCACCATCCACAGTGGACTCCTGGAGGGCCAGGTTGCCGGGGCCGCTCCACCCTCAAGTTCTTCGCACTGATGACGACTGTGGTGATCCAAAGAAGCTCCTGGGCTGTGGGGTGCACACCTCTTTGGGGCAGAGACAGTGGGTTTCCCCAGAACAGTCGGGTTTAAACATGGCCAGTATGAGAGAGAACTTAAGCCCACCAATGCCCCAGAGAATCACATTTGCTCTATCTTAAAGGAGACAGACGCCAACCTCACCAACAATGATTCTGGTTCTGCTTGCAGCTCTTTTCAAGTGGCTTCACCTTTAAATCCTCACACACCTCTGACACCATTCTTTTTTGAAAATGTGCGGAATAAAAATCAGTGAAACGTATACCTGCCCTACCCTGTTGTTCTATACCTTTCGTAGTGGCCTCGGGCTGGGGAATGAATAGGCTGTGACGCCCATATTGTCCAGCCAATTAGCTCTGGGCAGACAGGCAGAGGAAGGACTGGGAAGGAGGGTGTAGGTTTGGCTCAGCACGCACAAGGCTCTGGATCGGGATCCTCAACACTGACAAAGAAAACAAACCAAAGTCCCTACCCGGACAGGGTGGTATGGACCTATAAGCCCAGCATTTGCTAGAGGCAGGACAATTAGAAGTTCAAGGCTATCTCTGACTACATAGCAGGTATGAGGCCATTGTATACTACCCGAGACCCTGTCTCAAAAATGAAACAAAACCCCCTTAGCAAGAAAAACCAGATGTGGTGAAGTCCCACAACCATTGAGGCTGAAGATCGAGGCTATCCAGGGGCAAGGGGCATACACACCATGTGTCATAAAATAAAAACTCATCATTTCTGGATGAAATGTAGACTTGGAAAGAAACCTCCGGCGCTCTCCACAGCCCTTTCAGTCCCTCACTGGTGTGGCCCATCGCCCCAGAAGCCAGGGTCTTAGCAGGACATTGACCTGGTTTCGGTGGGTTATGCACCTCAGCGAAGCTGTTGGCAGGATCTTCAGAGCCTGCTGTACCTGGGCGCTCAGTTCCTCGCTGGCCACCATCCTCCTGCATAGGCCACTCGGGTAGCTTGCTTCCTCAGAAGGGTCCAAAGCCAAACAAGCCAGTGCTGGAGGGTCACAGACAAAAGCTAGGCGTCTTTCTAACCCAGTCCCCAGACACTGGTCAACTGACCCTCCTCTCTATCCCACTGTACTGACAAAACCACAAAATATTGGGACGTGGGAGTTTTTAGGGCTTTTTGTGTGAATGAATGCATGTACACATACACACCAGAAGGCTATGGTCTGCTGCTTTTCTCAGTAACTCTTCATATTTATTCATTCAAATATTAGGTTTTTTTAATATAGGCTCTTCCTAAATGGCTGTGACTTCCTGTAACTTGCTATGGAGACCAGGCTATAATGGCTGTCTCTACCTCTCCAGCGCGGCGGAAACACTTACCTGTTAACATGCCCATGCCTTTGAGTGCTGGAGATCCAAACTCATTAGGGTCATCTTCCCAGGCCTGGGGCTCCTTTAAAAGTTCCATTTTGCAGCTACTTTCTGCTGAAATGGGCATTTGGTGCAACACTCCGCCGGAGCCCTGTGACAGGCTTGCTTCTGAGCATAATCCTTTGGTTTGCTGCATCTCACAGTTCACTTTCTAGTGAACACTATCAGAACACAGACGTCTCACTGTGCAGCCCAGGCTAGCATCAAACTTGGCAATCCTCCTGCCTCAGCTTCCTGAGGGCTGGCACTATAGGTGCTTTGCTATGCCCACCTATGGGGTCTTTAAATACAGCACACCAAACACTGTAGTTCATGGGCATCCAAAAAAGGACTTCTTCTCTCTAACACTAAAAACACCACAAATTAAAATCTGGGCAACTACAAGGAGCAAACAACAAAACTTCATTTACTTAACTCTAAAACAAGTCTTAACCATTCAAAAGAAAGCGGTCCAGGGCACACACGATAGCTCAGGGGTTACAGTGCTTGTCTTGCAAGCCTGAGGACACTTAGTTCAATCATGGAAGCCATGGTACAAGGGGAGAACCAATCCCCCAAAGTTGCCTCCTAGGCCCCTAAGTAGAAACACAAATTAAAAAAGAAACCAGGCGCTGCAGCCCACACCTGTAATCCCAGCACTCTGAAGGCAGAGGCAGGCGGATCTCTGTAAATTCGAGGCCAGCCTAGTCTAAAAGGAGAGTAAAGGATGGCTAAAGATACACAAAGCAACCGTCTCAAACAGCAGAAAAAAAAAAAAAAGTAAAACCCAAGTAGGGACAGGAGTGGTGGTGTGTCCTTGGGAGGCAGAGGCCTGGATTACATAGTAAGTTCCAGGACACCTAGACAAAGAGTGAGGCCCTGTCCCAAATCTCTCCACACCACCAAAAAGAAACCTTAGTTTAAGGAAGTAATAAAAGTGTAAACGGCCAATAAAACTGCTATGAAAGAACGTGTACCCACATGCACACGCATGATGGACACTGGGCACACTCCTGTTGCTTGCTGCGGTGAACGGGTCTCGCTGCACTGGAGCTCCAGACTCAGCTACACAGGGCTGGCCAGCAAGCCCCAGGGATCACACTCTGCTTTTGATTTGTAATGCCCGTGCCTGTCTCTTTCCTTGTGGGGCTACCAATCACTGAGCCCCTCCTGAATGTGGGACGTAACTTTCATATCATTTTCCAAAATGCATGTTAATTCTGCAACTAAGGGTTAGAAGCAAAATTACAAACCCCACAAAAGGGTGGGGGCCCGTGTGACATTCAGTCAACTGCTCGGGCAACAAAGAAACAAGACTTCCGGAAACAAGCAGGTTATTAAATACTCTGTTTATTGATCTGCATTTGTGAGGACACAAACAATGCACTCAGTAGAAAGAATATAAAACATATCAGGGCTTTATTCTTAACCAAGAGCCAACAGCAGTCCTTGAGCGAGACCTGGCCTCCACAATACCTGCTGTGCTCAGCCAAGCTCAGGAGCCTGTGGGCAGACAGCTCACAAGCCCCTTCGTGGCTCACAAGTCCTCTGGCTCCCTAAGTGGTAGGGGAAAGCCCTTATTTGGTGGGACTTATTTCCAGAATGACGTTCCAGGTTCTCCCCCCATTTAAAATTTCCTGTGAAATCAAATGATTAAAATAGGTCTGCTGTTGGCTTGTGTTTCTTGGTCATGTCACCTTAATGTCACTAGGATTCCTGTAATCCCACAACTGATTTGCTGAGAAGCAGTTTCAGGTAGGTCTGCTATTGCTTTAGATGTCAGTACAGTTGCCAACCCAGACAGGCGTAAACTGCCGTAGGATTGATCTCCCTGCCGTTATGTGATGTCATCTGCTCTCTTTATTCTTGATAGGTGCATAGATAGCCTGACTTAAACTCTTTCTACGGGAACACGTCTGGTTCCAGGAGTAACCAATCAAGAGCCAATGAATGGCTGGCCAGTTCCTCAGGTGAAGCTGCTTGCTGGTGAGCCAATCATGAGGGTGACTCTCCAGTCTTCCACACAGCAGGAGGCAGTGAGCGGTCACTCGGCTTGCTAGGGGAGCCTTGGCTTGCATCTCCGTGGCTTCTCCCAGCTCAGTTAGAAACTGAGCTGCTCCCAGAGACTACTGCAGTCAAGACCCTTGGTCCTTGCTAAACTAGCAAGCAGCCATCATGTGACCCCAATCCTGTCCCTCTGATGCTTGCTTCACCCAAGGAACATGTAATGTTTAGGTAATCAAGTCTATGAGAGGCCGAGCCTAAAAAAAAAAAAAAAAATTCACAAAGCCTTTTTGCATTAAGAAAAGCCTCAAGTACATTTCAATCATCTCAAAATTGTACTTAAAAACTTACATTATACAAGGAAATAGCAGCATTGGATGGCTAATGTCAAAACCAACGGGAAAAAAGAACGAGGTTCATGCCATCCTCCCCCGCCCCTTGGTTCCTCACCCAGGATTCAAGAAAGACCCCGAGCTTCTGAGAAATGGAACAACAAAGCCACATGGAGAAACTGAGTCAAGGAAACTAAGCAAGGAAAAGCTGTGGATGGAAGCAGAGAGCTGTCTAGCAAGGACTTGGAATGTGGGAACACTCCCCAGATGGGACAGCTCTGAAACCTACGGTCCATCTCCCACCTGGATCACAACAATGCTCTAGTTACAACAGTCCATTCAAGCTGAGCAAGCAAAGTGGCAGGAGGGTGTTCAAACGGGACTTAGGGCAACAGAAGACACAGAAAAGAACTATCCGCACACCACCTGAAACTCCAGGAACTGTCACTGGTTCTGTCTGTCCACATTTAAAACAGGGCTCCAGATTCCAGGACCATAGTGGTCAGAGGCCTAGAGGTATCCAACAGTGCTCTCAACAGTGCTAAACTGGTACCCACATTGGTTGCTCATCGAAAAAACATAGCGTCAAAGTCGCAGGAAAAAATGTGACCATAGAAAACACAGAAAGAATCCAGGAAGATGCTGCAGCCTGGACGCAGCACGTTTAATGTCTCTGCTGCTCACAGAATTCACACCCTTCCCTCCTCAACCTTGTGCTGGCCGTGGACACGCACAGAAAATATGACTCTTAGAGTCAGAGAATAAAGAGGATGGACTCACAGGTCTTCACAGCTCTTCTCAAAAAAAGGGTGCTGACACCGAATGAAAAGGGCAGGGCAGAGGGTGAGGCTGTTCATACTTTTTTTAGTCTTTGGCAGAGCCCAACCAAGGCCAAATTCACCTAGGATGCCCAATGGCTGTGGGATTTCCACAGGATCAAGGAAGCAAACCCAAATGAACATGTTGGAATAACGGGGGGAAAAAAATCAGAAACCCTTGAAGAAAGAGCTTCCCCTGAAAAGGGAGGAGGGCAAGTCAGAGGGAAGGGCGAGGGTCAGTGTGATGAGCTCTGCTGCAGTGGCAGGAGGGTTAGGAATTCAGCCAAGGGTGCCGGAGACACTCGGCAGCGGTGGCTCTCTTCTCAGGGACGAGCTCCAACATGGGCAGCAGAAAGGCTGTGAAGCCAGCAGCTTCCTCCTCAGGCCACTCGTACTTTTCCACCAGGACCTCCAGAAGACCCCACGGCTTCAGCTTGGTGATGTGCTTCAGGTCACCTGTGGGAAGACAGGACAGCTCACAGTCCACACGGCCTCACATGTGCTCAGGGCTGTTATACACAACCAGCCCAGCCTGCTTCTACAGCTCAACAGTCCAGCAAACGCTGCTTCAAAATGAGGCACTGATCTAAAAAATGATAAGCTAACAGTGTGACAAACACACACAAAAATGCCAACAACAACAAAAAAATCTAGGAACTTTGTGTCAGTGTCATCACTTGACTGAACGGCTCTTTGGAATCGACCTTTTCCCCGTCAACAAATGATGCCCAGATCACGCCAGCCTTTGTGCGCCAGGCAGCCTCCTGCCCCTTCAACCCTGAAGTGACAGTTTTCAGACTGTTTCTGTCAATTGCTCCATCTAAGGCCATGGAAAAGACCTCTCAAGCAGCTGGGACGAGGGGCCTCTGCCCTGCCTGTATTGATGATACCCTTAAAGGCTTAACAGCTTTCCCAGGCAGATGCTAAGAACCTCCACGTGAGGACATTTGGGGATCTTTCTCTCAGGCTGCCAAACTCGATGCACACTGTGATTAAACAACTCCTCCTTCGGTTCCTCAGCACTCTTTAGCAGCTGGAAGGGCAAGGGCATATGGCCGAATAAACACCAGACCAGGCAGCTCTTAGATCCTTTGAGATTCACTTTTTATTTCAGTTTCATCTTCGATATGTAAGAAACACAGAATCAAAGCATTTTTAAGTAGGGGTAGGGACACACACCTCCAACCCAGCAGGAGGATTTAAGTTCCAAGTCAGCCTGGACGGCATAGGAAGAAACCACCCCAAGCAAACTCAACACTGGCTGTGCTGAGCTTCTGCCCAGACCACTCAGCACCTGCTCCGCCACGCTGGGTATTTAGAATGTACTCGCTCAGCTTTCTGCAGATCTAGAGAAGGACCCAGATGGACTTTGCGTGTCACTGCAGACATTGGTACCCCTTGACTGTTAACAGATTTACCTTTTTTGGTGAAGAACTCCTTGGAGTATTTCCCCGCCACGATGAGCTTACGAGGCACCTTCCCCAGGAGTTCTATGATCAAGGCGATGTGGTCTGCACACAGGGATTGCAGAGAAGGAACACAGAACGGCATCACAATCGGGGCTCTAAAAGGGTGGCGCACACCCCACCTTGTAGGCATCGCAGGCTTGCCCTCTGTCCTAGGAGAGGAAATGAACTGCCTGTCTAATGCAGGGTTCACTCCAAAGACAGAGACCCGGCACTGCGGCAGGCAGCCCAGAGTGAGGCCCAGAGTCGCCCTTGGTGCGAGAAGCCTGCTTCCTCCACTTGTGCCCGGGGCTTGTCTAGCTCTGAGACCAAGAAGTCCTGTGACCAGGGTCCTGGAATTCTGCCTATCAGCCCCACAGCACATACCAGGTGGGCTGAGAAGGAAGGCTGAGACCAAGGATCAAGGTAAAGCAGTGAACGAGGCTTTCCCTAAATAGCTTTTCAAGGGTTAGTTGGTGAAGGGACAACAAACCAGCGTGTCCAAGGGAGACTGGGAAGACCGCCAACGTTCTTGGCTAACGGCAAGCTTCCGGTGTTTGACGCTTACCTACACTACAGCTTTACTTGAGGCCAAAATCTGGGCCCAGTGGGTTCTCAGGCAGAGGAAACCCCACATCAGCATTTCCAGACCAGCACAACTGCTAAAGAGATCACACACACTGAAAAGCCAAGGTGCAGAGGAACAGCAGGGCGTTAAGGCCAGCCTGACTGAGTACTGACTGGGGAGGGCCTCTCACATATACTTTAATTTTCAGTTTGGCAGCTGAAGGTCCTACTTTACGATACTCTAGGCACTGTGTGCAGCCTGTAGATCACGCTTTCATCGAGTCTAGTCAAGTAAAGATAAAATACATGAAAGAGACAGAGTAGGGCACCCGAAAGCTCCAACCATCTAGAGCACCTTCTCCACCTTCTGAATGCCGCAAACCCTTTAATAAAGTTCGTCATGCTGCAGTGACCTCAACCATAAAATTATCTCCACTGTTACTTCATTTCACTCACTGTAATTTTGCTGCTGTTATGGATCATACTGTGAATATCGGATATACAGAATATCTCTCGTCACCTTCCCTTCTAACAAAAGTTGTGTGGTGCGATACACACAGAGGAAACACGGCCTAACTGTAGAGAGCAAAACAGGCAGGCTCTTGGCTGCCATTTGCTCAGCAGTAGCTGCAGTCTCAGCAAGCTACACTGTCTGTTAGCGCTCACAGGGGGCTGTGCTGCACAGCAGAGCAGAGCATTCCTGGCTCTTCAAGGACTGCCTCCCAAAATCTTTTTTTTTTTTTTAATTTTTATTTTTCTTTTTAGTTACAATTTGTTAACTCTGTGTCCCAGCTGTATCCCGCTTCTTCATTCCCTCCCCCTCCCAAAATCTTTTTATTCACCTAGGAATCTGTGGATGTCAGGCTGGCAAAATCAGATGCACCTAACTGTCTTCCCAATGGCCTTAGATGGAGTAATTGACAGCGTGTGCTTTTCCCCACAGGGCCAAATTCAAATCTGCTTTATTTTGACTTAAAATGAAATTCTGTACAACTTAAAAGGAAATAAACATAGCTTTTATTTGTTTGTTGAAAAGGGAAATACTGATATTATACATGGAAGATCTGCCTCCAAGTAATGTTGTAGATTAAATGACTGGACTTTCAATCTGAGGTGGGTAAAAAGTCACTGACCTCTGAAGGAAGACAAGCAAGCAGAACAAACATCTCACGAATGTTAACCAACCACGGACTGCCAGAGCTCTTTAGTATCTTTCTCTTTCCCCATCTTGTTTCTTAGGCTGGCCCCAAACTCAGTGTACAGACGAGGCTGACCCTGAAGTCTACAGCCTTCTGCCACCTCCCCAGAGCTGGCACTGCAGGCGTGTGCAAACCACCCAAGTTGAAGTGGTGCTGGCGGCTGGGCTCAGGCCTCACGCATGCCGGTCATGGAACTGAGCCACCATCTTTACTGTCTTTTCTTAGATGTTTTCTCTACCTGACCCCTAATACAGAATGTCTTACTCACTTTTAACCTTTGTGAGAAAGGATCTCAGCGTGTGGCCGAGGCTGGCAAGACCCTGCGACTTCCTGTCTCTGCTTCCTTAGTACTAGGAAGACATTACTGTCCCACTCAGCTCCAATTCTCCTGTTTCAGGGTCTCACACACCCACACAGTAACAAAGGCCTCTGGTACCAACAAATGATGCTAATTACAGTGGAAAGCACAGCTGTGGGGGGTGGGGGGGGAGACTCACCTTCATCTCGTGTGTAATCCTCCCCTGAATGAGGCTCAAACAAATAGTCACCTGTGGCTAATTCAAAGGCCTAAGAAAAAGAGACAGTGCATGAAAGCATCAGAGAAACAGAATGCATATCAAAGCCTATTGCTACCTGATTCCAAATCTAGACAAACATTTGAAAAACACCTAAAATGAAAAGGCTGAAGGACAGCTATGGATCAATAAAATGTGGGAAGAAAAAAAAACAAAAACAAAAAAAATCCCATTATCAATTAGTACTGACGTTGGGCTATCCCACTGGATAAAAACAACCAAAGAACACTAAAGCAAAAACAAAAACAGAAAAAAATGGACCACAAAAGCAGAGTGGATGGCGTCTTGACAGCAGGCTCACCGCAGCTGGCAGCGCTGTCTGCGTTCCCACAGACATGGAGGACTGAGAATGTCCCACCGCATTTACCTGCACTTCCCTCATCTGTGCGACTGTGCCGACACCCTCGAGAGCTGTCTTTCTTTCCCATCATGTATGGCTCAGGGTTTGGACTCAGGCTATTAGGTACAGAGCCAGCCCATGGGCCTAGAATTATCAACATTCCAGCCACCAGAAGCCGTGTCTGAGATGACACAGACACTAATGACTCAGACTTCATCATGACACTCTGTGCCCCAGAAGTATGTACCTCAAAGACAGACACTGCCCTCCTCTAGCCACGCTGAGTCTCCTCTGTGGCCAGCCAAGGGCGTAGCGGCTGTTATATCATCACTCGTGAGAAGAGCAACTCTCCTGTGCTAACATCTCAAGTCGCCTAGAAATGCTAACTACACTCAGATTACACTCAACCCCGACATTTGCCTTATTTTCCAGACAATCTTGACTAGGGATTCTTGGCAGACATGGCCAATCTTCTCTGTAAGCCTTAATCCTCTTCAGTTACTGGAGAGAACTTTGCTATTGAGGGACTAATGAAACAGTGACAAAGACAACTGAGGACCAGTTGAACTGCAGAGGACACAGCTTTCAACACTCGCTGCCACCCCCACCCTACCCCCGGCTGCTGTCACGTCCAAGTGAGCATCTGTGCTCCTCTGCTGGAGAGCTGCACTTAGCGCACAGCGCGAGTAGGACTCACCATGCACGCGGTGCTCCAGATGTCAGCCGGGGTGTTGTAGCCAGATCCCAGCAGAACTTCCAAAGACCGATACTGCCGTGTCTGGATATCTTCGGTGAAATGCTTGTGCTGAGAAATTCAATGAGTGGAAAGCCTTAACAGTCATGTATTTTAAGACGGAACGATGAAGAGTTGCTTAATAATGGAGACTAAAGTTCTCTGAAAAACTTCCAGGAAGCTTCCTTCACAATTCTCACTTAACAATTCTGCCTTACTGTCATTCCAAATAACTTGAAAATTGATGAGCCTTAATTTCGTTTAGATAGAATAATTACTTTATCAAGAAATCAAAATGAGGGGCTGGAGAGATGGCTCAGAGGTTAAGAGCACCGGCTGCTCTTCCAGAGGTCCTGAGTTCAATTCCCAGCAACCAAATGGTGGCTCACAACCATCTATACTGGGATCTGATGTCATCTTCTGGCCTGCAGGTGTGCATGCAGACAGAACACTAATATATGTAAAATAAATAAATTTTAAAATAAAAATCATTACAAAAAATAACTAAAACTAGTATGACGGCATATGCCTTTAATCCTAGCGCTTGGGAGGCAAAGGCAGACATACAGGTGTGCTCGACAGTCTACACGGTGGGTTCCAAGTCAGCCAGACTACAATGAGACTGTGTTTCAAAAAGCAATGCCTGTATTCCCAGCACTCAGAAAGGGAGAGGCAGGTGGATCTCTGAGTTCCAGGCCAGCCTGGTCTACAAAGTGAGTCCAGGACAGCCAAGGCTACACAGAGAAACCCTGTCTCGAAAACAAAAACCTCCAAACCACGCAAACAAACAATATATAAGCACATAGCAGGGCCAGCAAGAAGGCTCAGCAGGTTAGGGAGCCGCCAGCAAGCCTGAAGCTCTATGGCAGAACTCTGGGATTCACACGGTACAGAGAGAACTGTCTCCTGCAAACTGTTCTCTGACCTCCACGTGAGCTGTGACACACAGGACAGGTGCACAAACGCACACTTCCGTATGATCAAAGTTAAAAAAATTAACACACTTAGCTGGGTGGTGGCAGGGCACACCTGTAATCCCAGCATTTAAGAGGCAAAGGCAGGCAGAGCTCTATGAGCTTGAGACCAGCCTGGTCTACAAAGTGAGTTCCAGGACAGCCAGAGAAACCCTGTCTTGAAAAACAAACAAAACGACCACCAACAAAAAATACTCCAAACAAACTCAAGTGATGTTAAAACATGTGGACTGAGTACAGAAAACGAGGCCTGCTGGAAAGCACAGGGATCAGGCAGCGTGGTCCAGGCTCTGAGGCCTGGCACAGGCCTAGGGATCAGAGAGGGAGGAGCATCAGCAGATCATGCAAACACTCCCAGGGAAGACAAACAGCTACGGGCACTGCCACCTGAATTAACCTGGCTTGAACATCCTAATTCCTCTACCACGTTTCTAGGTCTAATCTGGCCTTGTCTTGATCCACCCAAAGAGCTTCTTACTGACTATGGTCTTCAACGCCAGTATTTCCTTCTTTTTTGGTTTTTGAGACAGGGTTTCTTGGGGTAGACCAGATTGATCTCTAATTCAGAGATCCACCTGCCTCCGCCTCTCGAGGGCTGGGAGTGAGGTGCACAGCACCAGGCTGCTGTAGGACTGGGGTTATCACTCTCTCCTGCCGCTCCAGCTTGAGCCCCAGTGCTGTCTGAAATTAGAGTGATACCTGCAAAGCAATCGCTGCCAAAGGGCAGGGGGGCAGGAAACACAAAACACTTTTACTTATGCATGCAAGACCTTGTCACAGGCGTGAAAATGTAGCCAAGCAGACCTGCACTTAAAACCAAAGCTGCACTGTCTCTAAACCGCACACGGTGCAACTGACACACAGAGGACAAGCTGGCAAGCAGACCCAAACCTAACACAAACATACAAAACCCAAGCTGTTTGGAAGTCATATAAAACCCATTCTTGAACTCGGGCACTGGCAAATTGAAGAAATGACCGAAAAGTAAGAGCTGAGCAGGGCACAGCTATGTGGGACAGCTGTCATGAGCGCACACGCCAGCATGTATGCTGAGTGTGAAAAGCAGATAGACGAAAGGAGGCACACAGAGCTAGGGAAACAGCTAAGGTCAGCCTGAATGTGACCCCCAGCACCTCTGTGGACGATGGGGGGACAGCACTCTGGGGATCACAGGCAGGGCATGCTAGCTAAAGACATGCTAGGCTCAGGTTCAGTGAGAGACCCTGTGTTAAAGAAGGCCTGCCCAGAAGAGAAAGGAAGAAACGAAGAGTCAGGTATGGCAGTACACGTCTGTAACTCTAATAGTTGGGAAGCTGAGGCAGGAGGATGACCTTAAGTTAGAGGGCAGCTGCATATAGAGAACTCAAGGCCAGCCTGGTCTACATTAAGACCTTATCTTAAAATTTCTAATTCATGGCTGGAGGGGCGGCGTGGTGTCGAACACCTTTAAAGACAGCACATCTGAGATCAAGGCCAGATTTCTGAGCTCTGGTCTCGAGTGAGTACAGGACAACCAAGATACAGAGAAACCCTGTCTCAAAAAACATCCTAAAACATGTGCCAGGCGGTAGTGGCACACACCTTTAGTCCCAGCTTACTTGAGAGGCAGAGGCAGGCGGATCTGAGTCTGAAACCAGCCAGGTACAAGAAAAATAAAACACTTGTGTAACTGGATATACACTACGCCAGACTGCCCTTCACCCACTCACTTCAGAACACAGCACTACAGGAGGTGTGACTTACCACCCAGCAGGCGTTCCCAAGGTCAGCGATCTTCACCTTCAGTTTTTCTGCATTTTTTGGCTCAAGGGGATTAATAAGAAAATTTCCAGCAGTGAATTTTCCTACAGACAACAGCCATTATCAGTAAAAGAGTTTAATGAGCACATGATACCCTAACGGAAACAAAGGTCCCAGAGGTGAGGCTCATTTAGACAAGCAGCCCCCACGCCACCGATAACAAAGCTTTTAAGGCTCAGGTTCCTAGAGTGCAAAGCCCCTGCAGAAGGTGTTTAAAGTTAGCCTCAGACTTACACTTAACTTGGACAAGTGCTACCAGGAGCCATAGCTCAGGGGTACTGTTCTTGCCCAGAGTAGACAAGGTCTGCCCACCGTATCCACCACTGTAAGGCCAAACACACCGCTCCCCACCAAAAATCCAAACCAGACTCCCGCTGTACAAAAGCCGTGACAGAAACCTAGGAACGCAAGGCCCGCTGTGCTGGTGAGAGTTGAGGCGACATCTGTGTGGTACCTTTGCTGCCCAGGGGTCCGTTGTGCTCTTGCTCATCCCCAGAAGGCGTCCCTGCACAAATGCTCTCTTGAAGCTGACTGATGTCCTGCTCACTGAGCTTCACCGGGGACGACTGGCACACCATGGTCTCCGACACCTCAGAGGTCACAGGTGTGCAAGAGTCTGTCTCTTGAGATGCACTGCTGTCTTCATTTGGGGAGTTTAGGGACCCAGGTTCCTGCTTCAAAGTGTGGGCATCACAGTCATTAGCATTCTGCACATCCTCCTGATGCCTCAACGTCTCAGCATTACTGTTTTCAGTGTCATCAGTGATCCCGATGACTCCATTGCAATTAACTTGTGCTCCGCCGTCCTCCACATCACACGTGAGTGTCTGGTCCTGGCCAGCGGACCTTGGTTCTTCTGAGGAACAAGGAGAGAGAGAGATGCATGCGTGTCGGTGCGGTCAGCAACAGCAATTCTCACAAGTTAAGACATTTTCTAAGTCTCACACTGAGCGGCATGAAAACAAGACTAAGAGCCCTCTAACGCCTACTGGAAGGACAGACGTCTCCTCCTTACCCAAAGTCTATCTCAACTTCTGAGGAGAAAGCAACAAGTTACACTTTCCTATCCACCTGCCTGCAGTATGATCAGACCTAACTCGTACAGGACACCCCCAGAGATGAGCCGCACACACGAAACCAAACACCACATAACAACAGTAAACCAATGCTCAAGTGTGCCACAAAGTCATTGTCGCAATGCTCTGTTATACCAAGTTTCTCTTGGGTCATTTTATTAGGTGGGTTCTCTGTCAAGGGTCTTTCAACAGGACTCTCTGATTCTTCTTGCTTGTTAGGTCTTTTTTGCCCAGGGCCCGACTCTTTCTCCATCTCCTCAATTTCCTGCATTCGCTTCTCTAGTAATTCTGCCTGGCGCCTCTGCTTCTTCTTCAATTTCTTCTTCTTATTCTTTGACATTTTGTCAGCCTGGGCGGAGATTACAAACAGATAAAGCCTTCAGGTGGCTAATCCAATACCCCTGGTTGGAGACAACTGTTAACTTTAATTATTTCCTAATTAACTTCCACTCTTTCTCTAGTATTTCATTAACGTAAAATTTGCAGATTGTCTATGAAACTGAATAAAAAGGACATTAACAAGAGGTCTTTGTCTTCTGGTCTGTAGGGCTGATTACTCAAGACACCTGTTACAGAAGACTCATCAGGACAAACTTGCTGAAGACATGATGGAATTACTGGAGAAAAAAAAAAATCACAGAAGTGCAGGACAGTCTTTTTCTTTCGCTATGACCATGCACACCACACCCGTGCCCAGCACCCCGACCAGGAGTAAACAGAGAAGCACTGTGTGCTCATACTTACTGGCTTAGGTTGCGGAGCAGTACTGACTGAAAAGAAGAGAGACAAACAGGTAAGAGTCTTGGCACAGACAGGCAAGAAGGCAGGGTTAGAAAAGACACTGCCAGATAGAGCGGTGCTCCCTCACACAGCCTACATTCTCTAAGCAACACTGCAGGAAGATGCATTATTTTAAAAGAAAAAAAAAAAATCAATATATACAAAGTAGCCAATTTTTTTTTTTTTTTTTTTTTTTTAAATAGGGTCTCACTATGTATGTAGACCTGGCTAGCCTTGAACTTAAAATGTACACAAGGTTAGCCTCAAACTCATAGATTCACTTGCCTCTGTCTGCTAAAATTAAATTAACAGCATGCACCATCTTGTCCAGTTTAGCCTAAGTTTCTTTTTGTTTTGTTTGTTTTAAGACAGGGTTTCTCTGTGTGGCCTTGGCTGTCCTGGACTTTGTAGACCAGACTGGCCTTGAACTCATATCAATGTACCTGCCTCTGCTTCCCAGAGTGCTGGAATTAAATGTGTGCACCACTACAACAATCTTTTTGTTTTGCTTTATCCAAAGTTCAAGACTGTAAAAGGCTCTCCCCATCAGTACGCACCAGAGACCAAGTTCATTTAATGCCACAGCTGCTCAGACCAGCACTGTGCAGCCCATGCATCGGCACCCACGATTCCCTTTGGCACATGTCAGTTAATTTCTTTTAATAAGAAAGAAGCGCAGTTCTTGTGTGTGTGTGTGCATGTGTAGTTAGGACAGCTCTGGAGTCAGCTCTCAATTTTCACCTTCATACGTGTTCTAGGATCAAATGGTGCTCACCGGGTCTGCATGGCCATTGGCCAGCTGGCCCTCGTGTCGATTCTAAAGTGATCTAGGGGACAAAGAGCCAGTGCTCACCACCTGGCATGTTACAGGCAGCAGCTTAGCTCACTGAGATGGCTCTTCTTCCCTCCCAAAGTATTTGTGGCTGTGGCTTAAAGTGAGATAGAAAAGTCAGCCTCTTCATTTTACAAAACTGAACCCTATTCAACAACTTTCTCCTCCTCGTCTGTTCTTCCTTTCAAGAAACTTCAAGTGTCAAGAAACTTCTTCAAATACAAAGTAAACTAAAATTAAAATCTGCACCACCTATGGAAAAGCAGCCCCAACCAGCATCACCACCACTGGCCACGGCACTGAGGCGCTCTACCATCTGTACCAACGGGAAGTCTGACTCCCACGATTCCTGTCTAAGGGTAACAGGAGCAAGTAACGCAGCCAAAGTCTCCTCATTGATGAAGACAAACCAGCAGCTCTCCCTGGCTATGTTGGTCAATGAGCATGTGCGAGAACCAAGAGGCGAATACAGGGAGCAACCAGTGTCACAGTTACAATCTAGACACGGGGCGCCAGAGTCAGAAGGCTCAGGCATTCAAATTTAGCCTGGGCTATTGTATAAGTCATCATCCTGGCTGGAGAGATGACTCAGAGGTTAAGAACACTGGCTGCTCTTCCAAAGGTCCTGAGTTCAATTCGCAGCAAACACAAGGTGGCTCACAACCATCTATAGTGAGATCTGGTGCCCTCTGCTGGTGCACAGGCACACATGGAGGCAGAATGCTGTATAAATGATAGCTCTTCAAAAGAAAAGATGAGTCTTCCTAAAAAATTAAAATGAGGGTCAAAAACCTGTTTTGGCATGTGAAGACACTTGCTCTAGGCCTAACTACTTGAGTCTGACCCTCAAGACCCACATGGTACAGAGAACTGACGCCCCCTAGTTGTCCTAACGGCCACATGCATAAAAACTGGCCTGACAGATTCAACAAAAATTTTAAAAGCCCATCAAATAAACACTTTAAAACAGCAAGTCAGCCACTTACTAAGTAGCATTATTTTTATCCGAAAAACAACCACTCATTCCCTCCCCATCTGGAACACTGCTAAGTCTCTTAAACGTTGCCGGTCTTTCTAGAATGTCTGCCAGTGAGTGACTGTTCCACTGTCTGTCTTCCTGAGGTCCTGACTCAAGTCAAGCTCCCCATGTACCTGCAGACCCAGAAGGTGGGGGCGCCCCAGATCGCTGCCATTCTGTCGCTTCTGCAGCCAGCCTCCGAATGTACTGGTCGTTCACTGACAACAAGATGTTCTCTGGTTTGATGTCAGTGTGGATGATCCGGCATTTGGTGTGTAAGTAATCCAGACCTTGTAGCACCTGAATGGAAATAAATACTCTTAAATACAGAATCAGAGCACACTTTAAAAAGAGATGGCCCAGTGGTTGCGAGCACTGGCTGTTCTTCCAGAAGACCCAGGTTCAGTTCCCAGAACCCACACAGCAGCTCACAAACAGCTAACTCCAGCCCCATGGAATGCAGCACCCTCTTCTGCGACACGTGATACAGCCATGCAGGCAAGCTCGCCGCCCCACAAAGCACAATGCCAGCTTTTAAGTCTGGGGTCAGGGATCCAAATGGGCCTTCACACTCACGTGTATTTCACTTCATTTCCTAGCCCTAATCATTAGTTTCTCAAGTTTTGTTATGAACAGGAAACACCTGACATTTTTATATAAAAAGATACCATAAGCCAGATGTAATGGAGAAAGCATTTAATCCCAGCACCCAGGAGCAGACAGGCCTTAATTCTGTCTATAGTCAGGTGCTTCTCAGAAAAGAGAGCACTCTCACAGAGGCGGGGCGGGGAGGGAGGTGTCCCACACGGCAGTGACCAACATACATACTTGCTGGATGATTTTTTTGACACAAGGCAGCGGAAGCCCCTGGTAGTTGGACTTGATGATCCACTTGAGCAGATGATGGCCCAAAACTTCAAACACCATGCAGATATCTGGGAGTCACTTAAGGAAGCAAACGAGGCTCAAGAAAGCAGGCGAAATGAGGATCCACTACAGTAAGAGCATCCAGGCATTTTCCTCTTTGGTCAAAAAACTACTTTAAACTATGAAGCCATCAATAATGCCATCTGCAGTCAGTGACAACACACAGCAGAAAATTGTGAGGAAGGCTGGTTAGAGGGAGCACATGAACACTCGGTCACAGCACCAGGCTGGAGTGTCATCAGTTCAGGCTTCCTTCAGAATACTCCCACTTTCGCAGCCCCAAAGTAAAGAACACATTCCTTTTTGGAAACAGCGACAACGTGCAAAACTTACCTGGAAATGCCAACATGTTTTTCTTTGTCTGTAGTGGTGGAACATACCTAGCATTCTGGGAGACAAGTGCATCGCCCTGGGCTACCTCACCCCACTGCATTTAGAAAGAGATCCCTACTTGCTTGAGACGACCGCAGCCCTAACGCTCAGCGGGCGCTCAATGCTCTCCTCACGTCATGCTGTACAAGACCCGCGGCAGCACAGTCCTATGGCCACGCTGCTGCTGACCACTCCAGTTCCTCAGACTTGAAAGCCAAGCTTTCTTTTTGGTGCTGAAAGGAAGCCTAGGTGGACAGGAAGCATCTTGCTGTTGCTGACAGGACTATGTGGCCCAGACTGCCTTGAACTGGGATGGGTCGAAAAGCACCATTCTGAGGGATGTTGTAAGTTAATATACTACTTTCTGATGATAGTTAATATGAATATAGAGTTCAAGGAGGGGCAGAAGAAAAAGCTTCCTAGAAAAAGCCAAAGCCAAGTAATCCATATGCATGGAGTGATAACAGAAACACACATCCCCATTTCCAAGAACCAATGAACACTAAAAGCTCCTGTAAAACCTGCAGATAAGCTAACAGGCCAGTGAGAAACCACCTCCGTCAGGTATACCAGGAGCAGGTCGCTTTCCCAGCAGCACAGTGCCTTACACCTTTCCACTAGAAATAGCACGCTTTACTCACAGCTCAGTGGACAGACTGACTAACCCGAGAGAACCAGACAGACATAAACTAAAGGATGAACAAGAAGCAGCCTTTACTAAGCAACCTCAGTCAACCTATAGAGAAGGCTCCATCTGCACAATTCACACAGACACGGACAGAAGGCAGTGGGCATTGAGCACCAAGGGCGGAAGTCCACGAGGAAAGTCTTGTACTCTCCAGGCAGACTTGGAGTTGTGAATCTAGGGAGTCCCAGCCAGCGACAACTCCAAGAACAAGGTACCAAAGGGACAGCTAGAGCACCATGGTGGACACTTGCTGCCCCTTTTCCCTTCCAAGAACTCGACACGCTCAAGCCCTCGAGTGAAGAACAGGCAGCAGCACCTGGAAGCGTTAGAGGGATGTCCTTGTGCCTTTGTGCACCGTGACAAGGTTTTCCTTGTACTGTTCGCATGCAGATCTGATCACAGGCTGAACTCTGACTTTGAAGCATGTCTCAACGTTTTGTAAAACACCACCTTGGTTTTAATGAAAAGCGGGTGGTCAGTAAGCTGAGACAGGATCAGGGAGCAGGACTTCCAGGAGAGGGAGGTCCCAGAGAGAGGGTGCCGGGGAATGAAGAAGCAGGTGGCAGGATAAGACAAGGAAGGACAGTTAACGGGCCACAAGGCTGGGATGTGGGCCAGGCTAGTATTGCTGGGTTAAGTCACTCAGAGTCTGCCCAGCTTAGTGTCATAAGCCAAAACCTAACATACAAGTGCCTCTGTTATGCAGGAGCTGGGCGGGCATATAAAGTCCTTACTGGTACAGAGAAGGATCAGCATGTAGGGCAGTAACCAGCCTCTGCTTAAGAGCTAAAACACTGTTCCCACAGAGAGACTGATTCACAAGGTTCTAGAAGAATATTCAAGAGGTCACTCCTGGGCCAACCACTGTTTCAAGAAGCAAATCTTGAAAGGATAAAACTATCCAGCAAGTAACACAACTGCATGCACACTAGAATAAGTTCTAAAGATTTATAGTAAAGTCAATAACGTGGAGCACCAACTAGGAAACAAAGATGCAGGAAAACACCTATAACCCCAGAGCAGCCACCACTCGCCAAAGCCCAAGCTGCCTCTGCCGCAGGCTGCAGAGAAAGTATAACTGGCAGACAGGGAGGCAGCGGAGCTGGCAATGCCAGCACACGGAAGGTCCTTGTTTTAGCCTCAGCCCTGCCTTTTGTAACCCTAGCAGTCAGGCAGGAGGATCGGAAATGTCAGTGTCACCTCTTGGGTTGAAGGCCAGCCTGGTACGTGTATGTGAGTACACAGAGCACTGCTCAAAAAGAGAATCAGAGAAAAAGGTAATGAGAGCAGAACTCTGGGCTGTAAGAACAAGTCTCAGTGATTTAACAGACTGGCCCCCGAGGGTAAAGGTGTCAGATGTCAAGATTCAGAGCATGCTCTTGCCAAGAGCTGGGAGGAGAAGCGAGACTGTCTAGAAATGAGGCTCAGATGAAGACAGAGTGCGAGGCCAGGGCTCACCTGCTTTGAGAGCTGAGCACAGCACTGCACAAGCCCAGCTCAAGGTGAGGGGGATGTACAGCCTGAGGTCTGACCGGGAGGATGCAACCACAAGAGGACAAGGGTCAAGCAGAGGTCAGGCGTCTCAGGGCAGTGAGATGCAGTGGATCTGTGTCTGCGTCACTGGGTGTCACTGACGGGTCACTCGAGCCCCTTTCAAGAAACAGAAGAGGAATTACTACAATAAACAGAAGGAAAAACCGCTACAGCGCTGTCAGATAAGAGCTCTCAAACCTGCTCTAGTAAATTGGATGTGATATAAGGAATGGCGGATAAAAGGCCGGGGATGACAGCTGCTCCTTAGAGGGCCCTTGCCTGCACAGAAGAGAGGAAAACAGAGCAGCTCCACCTGCGTGGAGAAATGCAGCCGACAGTGGTCTCAACTTGCCTGGCCCCACAGGCTCAGTCAGGGGGAATTAGGAGGTGTGGCCTCACTAGAGGATGAGCATCACCAGGAGAGGGCTCTGAGGCTTCTACAGTCCACCCCAGGCCCTGAGTGTTAGCTCTTGGCTCTTCTCCAGCAGCATGGGGCTGTGACACATACTCCCCACAAATGACTAAGCCTCTCAACTGTCAGCAAGCCCCCAACGATTGAATGCTCTGCCGTGGTTGTGGTGCTTCTACACCTTGGCCAATGAGGGTAGCAGATAAAGAACAGTCACCTAATGCAGGTAGTAGCGCTAGAAAGGCATGTAATGGTTTGCACCACCAAACACACGCCTCATGGGGAGCTGAAATTTTATCACACACAAATACTGGTTGGTGCTGGGCAATTGTCAAATGAGGGGTTGTGCTTGGAAGATGCTAAGGTGTCGATAGGGGAAGAATGATTGTCTAGGTGACTGGTCATGGTTAATTCTATGCAAAAATTAAACTTACTCATGAGTCTTGTTTCTACTTGCAAGTTGTTTCATTTTCCTTTACCAACTTGTGGTGGGCTGATGCAGTGCATGAGCAGGGTTGGGGGCTGGTCCTTGAAGTTAACTGCGCTCAGGCCGACAGCAGAGCCACTCAGTCACACCCTGCTGAGGACACGTTCTGAAACGTGGGACTCACATTTACAAGTCCTTGTCTTTTATTCATTTAAAACAAAACAAAAAAACTACGACAGGTCAATCTTAGGCTTTCTGGCTGAGTTAGTTACAACTATGTGTAGCAAATCACGCGAGTAATCAATGAGTCGAGGTGCTACCTGGCACCCCACTAGAGTCACGGTGGGTGGCAGGGTGCTGGCTAGCAGGTGGTCATATGCTGGCACCTTTTATTGTTACTGGAATCATTTGGGGAAGAGACAAAGAAAGTAAAGGAAGTATGACCAGGCTCGAGAGACGCTCAAGGGCCATCTGGCTGCTCTTCCAGAGGACCAGAGTCTAAATCCCAGCACCTGCATGGCAGCTCATTGTTGTCTATAATGCCATGATCTCAGAGACAAACATAATGAACAAATAAATAAAATAAATGAATAAAAAGTATGACCAAGCAAAGGGAAAGCCGGTACAGTGGCACACACCTTCCACAAACGGAGGCCAATTTCCTTGAATCTATATAGCGAGTGTCAGACCAGCAAGGGCTACACAGTGAGAAAGACAGCTTGAATAGTTCTGATTTTGTGTTACAGCTGAAGCAGATGTCTTAATGTTCGAAATAGTTTTATAGCCAGGCCCAGTGGTGCATGCCTATAATCCCAGCACTTAGGAGATGGAGGCAGGTGGATCTCTGTGAGTCTACAAAGTGAGTCTAGGACAGCCAACTCTACAAAGAAAAACCCTGTCTCAAAAAAGCCTACCTTTTCTAATCAGGTTAAATCCAAAGATTTGTAGCTGTATTTTTACTCATTGTTAGTTTCTTTGAATGGTAATATCAGGGAAAAAAAATTCCTGAAAGGCTAAAAGTTTTAATTGTATCAAGGGAGTTTGAACTGTATATTAAAAATACTGCTTTGTCTTCCAGATGACTCAGTGGCTTAGGCCTAAAAGTTCAATCCCTTGTTCCCATATGGTGAGTTATCTTTTGATCCCCACCAAGCATGCCATGACATATATGACTTTGCACATGCAATAAACAGAATTTAATGTTACTGGGCTGAACTCTGTGGGCAGAGGGTGGCAGCCACCTGCTAATCTCAGATGGGTGGGTGCAGCTATGTGGGGGTGCAATGCTGCCATGACTGCTTAAAACTGAGAAATGGGCTGGAGAGATGGCTCAGGAGTGAAGAGCGTCTCAGGCTGTTTCTCCAGAACCTGCACCGAGCCCACAAGGTGCCTCATAACCCTCTGTAACTCTGGTCTCCACAGGCCCACACTACGTAGACATCCAACTGGGCAAGACACTCACACACAGTAAAAAGGAGGGTGCACAGGCATGGGGGCCACCAACACACAGACGGCATTCCCTCCAAGCGAATGCTGAGCGAACGTTGCACCTTCTCACGACAGCACAGTTCTAGGTCCACCGTAAGTGCAGCTGGCTGTAGCTCACCGCATGTACCTGCCCATCAAGAAAATTCTAGATTCTTCCAACTCTAAAAACTAAACTTTGATAGAGTTGTTTTAAACCACGTAAGACAGGATGTGAACAATCGCTCCACCTAAATTTTTTAAGTATTTATCTGACTGTTTATGTTCATCACACGCGTGCAGTACCCAAGGGGAGAAGAGAGGAGCAGATGCCCTGGAGCTAGAGTTGCACATGGTGGCTTGGATCATGTGGGTGCTGGGAACTGAACCTGGATCTTCCTGAGGAGCAGGGGAATAGTTCTTGACCTCTGACCCTTCTCGATCCTCCACTTCAGTTCTAAACATAACCAGTTTACAGTCCCTTTACTACTAAGGCCTGAGGAATAATACATAAAAATATAGCTTAAAATTTTACATAACCATTATTTCTCACGAAAAAAATTACCTGCTGGCCAGACATGATGGGTCACCTCTGTGACCCCAACCCTCAGGAGGCAAAAGGAGGAGGATTTCCATTTGAGACTAGCTTGGACTACACAGTGAATTCAAAGTCAGCCTGGGCTAAATGGTAAGTCCTTGTCTTTTATTTGTTTAAAACAAAAACAAAACAAAAAAAAGCACTCCCCTTGAAGTTTCTGTACCCATCTATAAAAATTATAAGATCTTTGTTCAGTAGCTACTTAGCATTTTCAGATTTTGATTTTCTTAAAGGGTGAATGCCTGAAATGATATTCTGAAGGACACAAAACACAGACACAACCTACAGCTATGTCCAGAAGCACACAATAAAGAGAACGTTTTTATTACTGTTTACCTAGAACAAAAACACAGGGGCTGGCTGCACAGAGCTTCCATCTCTCTCTGATAATAAATTTCAGAGTAATTGAGAGCAGTTCTTGGGCCACTATGATGGCTCGGTGTGTCTAAGTGCTGATCAAGCCTAATTATCTGAGCTCCTTCCCCATAACTGAACACGTGCGCACACACCCAATAAAACCAAGGGCTGGGAGCCGGGTCAGTTCCCACATGGCACCCCAACTGTCTGTAACATGTCCACGCTATCTGATGCCCCTTCTGCACTGCACTCTCGGGGTGCACTTACACACTGACATGGCTTAAAAATTATAAAATTAAAAAGGAGAAAGAACCGAGTCCTTAAAGGATACGTGTTCCATTAACGCCTGATATTTTAAAGTCATCCAACAGCTGAACAACCATTTCTCCATTTGGATCATTCGGGTCTGAATTGCGAACCTGTGTTGGAGAGAACCATATTTGGCACAAGTGAAGCAATGCAGTTGTCAGTCAACAGGGAGAAATGGCTGCCGGAGCCTCCTCCCACACTGCCATTACCCCAAGTCACCACAAAAAGGAAAACCTTTGAGTAAGATAAACTTGTGTTTCCAAGTATAAAGGCAATCAATTTGTTTTTGTTCTAGTATTTGTAGTTTTTTGTTTGTTTGTTGAGACAGGGTTTCTGTGTGGCTTTGGCTGTCCTGGACTCCATTTGTAGATCACAGATCCGCCTGCCTCTCCCTCCCTGAGTGCTAGGATCACAAGCCTGTACCACCGAGACCTGCTTTGTTCTAGTATTTGTTCTAGGCCAGCGGTTTTCAACCTATGGGTCTCTGCCTCTTTGGCAAACCTTTGTTTTCAAAAATATTTATATTACAATCCATAATAGTAGCAAAAGTTAGTTATAAAGTAGCAACAAAAATAATGTTATGGGGGCTGGAGGGATTGCTCAGTGTTTAAGAGCAGAGGATGGAGTTCAATTCCCAGCAACCACATGGTGGCTCACAACCATCTATAGTGAGATCTGGTGCTCTTTTCTGGCCTGCAGGTGTACATGCAGATACAGCACTCATATATAAAACAAATAAATCTTTAAAAAAAAAAAAAAATTATGGTTGGGGGTCACCACAACACAAGGAGCAGTATTCAAGGGTTGCAGCATTAAGAAGGTTAAGAATACTGCTCTACACTGTGTCTCTTTAGACAGTCTCACTATGCAGTCTTGGCTGGCTTTGAACTCAAAAAACTCCACATACTTCTGCCTCCCAAGTGCTGGGGCTAAAGGTGTGCACCACCACACCAGGCAGGCTATGACTTTACAACATAAAGTAGCTATCACTAACCTCCATAACTTTTCTGTTGACCAGAGTATGAAAGACATTTCTGGCATGCTGTGTGGCACAAACATGCTCAATGAAGTTTTACTTGAAATGACGATGTACGCATGCTTGTATGGTAAATCTATTCACTACTCTACCAACCCCACAACATGCAGGGACATACGAACACCTTTATCTTTCTCTGTGGCCCTAAGGAGCCCCTGAGTCTGCAGTAACCCCAGTCTATGTGATGCTGAGATCCAACACCTGGTACCGGCCCACACCCACAGGTGAGCTCACACTCACCGACTTCAGCAGCCGGATCTCATCCAGAGCTGTTTCTGTGTAATGTTCGGCACTTTTAACCACTTTCATTGCCACAAACTTCTTTCCCCTAAAAAAGACAATTCGTACAAAATTATCCGACCTTGACCTTTATGGTTAAGACCTAGTGCTAAGGGTTGGGGGAGAAAGGGAGGATGGAGAGTCCTTGCTACCCTGTGGTCAGATGGAGCCACCTCCAGAGGATACTGTGCCCCTAGGAGTGGCATAAACCAGCCGGACTGAGCTGGCAGAGCTGTGCCAGGTAAACTCCACCTTCTCATCATGCTTTACACTACACGGTCAAGAAAATGCTATGGTATGATAATTTTGCCTTGGTTTGTCTAATTACCTGGAAAGTTAACTCTAGTGCAAAGACAATTGTGAATTCATTATATACAGTTAAATGTCCATACAGCCTCACACCTGGCAGTTCCATGCCCTTTACTGACACCATTTCCTCAGTCCCTTGCCCCTGGGGTAGAGAGGAGACATAACTGCTTGCAACATGAAGGCAGAAGGGCCTCCTCAGTGGTACAGCACTGGGAAGCCGATTACGCCTCCGTTAGAAAGTCACGTCATAACAAAACCACTATGTGTGATTAGCATATAAACACTAATTATTAAAAAAAGAAATTTAAAAAGGTGGTCAGCCTAAAGACAGACCTGGACCACCTCCTGGAAGTGAGACAGAAACATTAAGGTTTACCCCATTCCTTCCCCAGGGCCATTTAAACTTACTGAATATCCCATGATAACCACACTGTGGAAAAGTGCCCCCAGCCCAGCTTCCGGATCACATGGTACCGCCCGTTAAATAGATCTCCAATTTTCACAAGATGATAACCTCCTGGAAGAAACGGGGAGAGACGAATGGTGACGTAATCAGAGAAAGCACACTTCCTGCATCCTCTCTGTGAGCATTTACACTACAGTCTTTAAGAGGAATTCAACAGGAGACTCTTCATTCAGTGTGACTCAGCATGAGGAATAACGGGGAGATTTAAGCTGAGCACGTACCCTCTAAGCCTGTGCTCACAGACCCTTACAGTACTGGCCCCTCCAAACCCAACAGCTGCACTGTCAAAACAAACCAATCTACCACACCTGCCATCTCAAAAGAATAACAATAATCAATCCTATGGCAGTCAGAGCCATTCTCTCCACACAGGTCATCAGCCAGCCACACAAATGAGACCCAGCCCCAAGAAGAGAAAGGAAAAAGGAAACAGAGAGAGGCTGCCTCAGTGCACAGATGATGTATGTCAACACACATGTTGGGGGGGGCAACTTCGCCTAGATAGCAGAGCAGATCCTCTACAACGTCTACCCTGAGGTCCCTGGGAAATCTTTACCAAAAACAGGAAGACAGCTAATGGCCCAGTTACACTCATATTAGCAGCCACCACCAGCAAAAAAAGATAACAATGGTATAAAAAAAAAAAAAAAAAAAAAAAATTCTATCCAGAACAGCCAGGCCTGCTGTACAAAGAAATCCTGTCTTGAAAAACAAAACAAAACAAAACCTATATATCAGCTGCGTGTGGTGATACACACCTATTCCCCATACCTCTGAAAAGTTCATGGGTAAACAGATACTGTCACCTTCAAAGAGGAAAAAACGACTTGCCCTTTCTTTTAATTTATTTTTATTTATTTATTTTTGAAGGCAGGATCTCTCTATACATAGCCCTGGCTGTTCTGAATCTCACTCTATAGACCAGGCTGGCCTTGAACTCACAAAGATCCACCTGCCTCTGCCTCCCAAATGCTGTGATTGAAGGTGTCACCTCCTATCCTGGAAAAAAGCTATTTTAAAGGGGCTGAGTACAAGAGGCAGCTATCTAGTAACTTCAAGCCCTGGTATGACCCTAGCCAACAAGGTTAAAAACTTAGTGTAACCACTGCGAGCAAACGCCATTTTCTGCACGCTGCAAAAGGGCAGAGCGAGCAGGCAGCACCAAGGCTGCTGGTGGTGACAGCACTAGGAGAGGGGCCGCCCCGGCAACTCACAAGCACACCTTTGCAGTAGTCATTGGGGTCTTCTTGCTCATCGTCGTCAGACCCCAGTATCTCCTCCTCCTGCTCTGGGATGTCGCTCTCGGACTGGGGTGCAGAGCCTCGGTGCTGAGTTTCAGGCCTAAGAAACGACATAACATGTTCAATCCATATGAACAAGAGGACCTTAAGAAATGTCACCACCAAGCCCCATGCCCAGCATCACCAGAGGCAGACAGTAGTTAGTATGCCCATGATGACTAAGAGCCAAGAAACACACCAAAGGATCACTACCCAGACTCAATCGCTGAGAAAGCCACTCTGCACTTTTTATCAGTGATGTTTGAAAAAGGAGCTAAATTGGTATCTTCTCAAATCCTCATTTTAGCTTTATACTTGACTATCAGTCTAGGGAGCCTCCTGAGTGCTGGGTTTACAGGAATCACCAAAGCCCAGGGGCTGGGTGCTCTGTGACCTTATCTTACTACGCACTCGGCCCTTTTGTGAACCGGGGACTGTTCAGCTCGGGAAATTTGCGTGTATTTCTTTGGGAGTTCACCTCTGAGCTGGATGACTGTCCGAAGCACGCGCCATCAACTACACTCTCTCTAGTTTTCGGGCTTCTGCTTCCTTGAGTTGTCTTCCTAAGAGTTCCAGTCCCTCATCTCACAGGCTCCTTCACTGTTTCCATGATGCCCCAGCCTCCGCTCGTTTCCTATTTCTAGCAACTCGTGCACTGCCTTAAACTCTAAAGTCACTCAAGATTTTTAATAGTGCCTCCACATGACACCAAAGAACACCCACAATTAAGAACAGTCTTTCTCATAAAAAGACAAAACCAAAGCAGAAAGAGAAACCCAGGAAATAGACACATTTAATATTAGATTCTCAAAATCAATTAGATCCCCAAAGTGAAAAGATGACAAGACTGGAGAACTCATGACCAAGAGAGGTGGCATACTGGACCAGCATTATACCTCAGTGGAGAGCTCCCCACAGCATGCTGGGAAGGGGCAGAGATATTGGAGCTTAACAAAGCTGAAGAAATTGTGCAGGAGGACTTTCTCTCGTGATCACTAGACAGTAAGAGAGTTTCCTCCTAGAACAAAGGAGGAGAACTGCAACTTTTGTTTTTACACTGCAGCACAATGAGTACTTGAGATTCATGTTGAAAGCAAGGCTATCTCAGTCTGATTAAGAACTCAGAGTATGTAATAAATACAGAAACAGTACACCAGGTATAACCCCTAACTAACACTGAAATGTTCAACAGTAAACACTGAGCTTTCAAAGAAGTCAAACGGTGAGCTGGAGAGAAGGCTCAGTCCACTCATTCAGAGTCCAGGTCCAGCTGCCAGCACCCGCATGCCAGCTCACAACCAGCTCACAAGCTCCTTGCCGGGGATCTGATACTGTCTTGTGACCTCTGCTGTTACCGGACACACTGGGCACACTCACATCCACTGAGGCACATGTCCTCATAAGATACAACATATCAACATGCATTTAAAAAATTGTATTCATTTTGTGTGTGTGTGTGTGTGCGTGTGTGTGTGTTGTGAGACTATTTTGCCTGCACCATCCATGTGTGCCTGGTAACTCAGGGGGCCCAGAAAGACTTCTGCCTTCCCTGGAACTGGAGTTACCCATGGTTGTAGCAAGTAGGTGCTGTGAACTCTAACTGCATCCTCTGCACTTTTTCCAGCCTCAGCTTCCCTTCTGCAACAGGATCACCGTCAATTTCGTGTTCAAATGTTTTGTACACACGTATGTTGAACAACGACCAACAACACAATGTTCAAGGCATTCCTTGTTCTGTCTTTTTTAGTCCAGACAGGCTGTCCTGAGCTCACAGAGCTCCGCCTGCCTTTGCCTCCCCTGTGGGGGAGTAAATGCGTGCCCACCACTGCCCTGATAAAGCAGGCACATCTTGGACCTCCACATGCGTGCACAGGAGTTTCCACAACCACACACACATGCTGGTGATGAAGCTTAAAAACAACAGCAGAAAGCCACAGTGGCCACTGCCCAGAATGTCTTAGCCAGCCTGACTTCTTTGCTGAGCAATCCCATCTCTCTGTGCTCCACTGTTTAGGTCTGTGCAGCGTCAGCTCTGCCACAGGCATTCTCCAGTTCCTTTCATTCTGCTCTTTCTTCAACACCTGGCACCTTGCGTGCCCTCTCCACTCCCAGATCTAACACTCAGGAGGGAAGGCCTGACATGGCTGGCGGTCACGTGACCAGACCAGGCCTTTCCCCTTCAGCTGCACCACATCACTCTCTTATTGAGATGGTCTCACGAGGTGCCCTGGCTGGTCTGAGAGCCACAAACTGCTCCTGCATTCTCCAGTGTGAGGCCCATCATTCCTCCATCCAAGTCCCTCGTGCCTCTGCCCCCAAGTAGCTTCCCAACCACACTTGAGTTGAGTAGAAAGACTGTGTGGTGACAAGGTCTGTTAGAGCGCAGCAGCTGGAAACAGATGCAGGAGCAGCACACCGCTTCCGTGTCACAGGCCTGGTCTCGGGGCCCAGAAGACTCAGACCTGGTCCCAATTTATCAGAACTCCACGACTCTGAGTAAAGTCCACTTACAAAGTTCCCTGTTGAGCTGAGGCTGTGACTCAGTACAGTGCTGGCTTAGCATGTACAAAGTCCTGGATCCCATGCCCAACACCACATAAAACCAGGCACGAGGTTGCATGTAATTTTCAGGGCTAGCCTGGAATACATGAGGCCATGTCAAAACACAAACAACAGAAAGAAACAGCACAGTCATCACCTATAAAGGCGGAGGCAGAAGTAGTACCGGTCTCACTAACTCATGAAAAACGACAACTCAATCCAAGTATGGTTTGAACGCAGCCTCTAGCAATATGGAAGGAAGCGGGAGAGCCCACAGCTACGTGCCCACTCGCTCTGATGGTGTGTGCACTGCACTCAAGCTCGGGGCAGACAAGAGCAGGCTCCTGTGTGCACATCTCCCCACAGAGAGACCAAGACCCCTTGTGTATGTGAAGCCGCCCCTCTCATCTCCTGAGCTCTCCCATGGAGGCCCCTCTCTCCAGAGACCCATGCTCTTGCAGGGTGGTGGCCGAGAAGAGCTGCAGAAGAAAGCTGAGTGGAGGAGGGAAGAGCACGCTCACTATTTTAATAGCATTGTGACATTTAAGTAAGGAAGTGCTGAGTTTTAACCTAAATAATTCAAAATGGAGGTTGCAGCGGACATGCAGGCTGCGGAGCGGATTGGGAGTACGCTTTGGAGTTCAGAAATGATTCCCTAAGATTTCAAAAGACAGGCAGGCTCCGAGCTGGGGGGTAACTCAGTGGGCAGAAGCACAGGCTGCTCCTGCCGAGAACCTGGGTTTGGTTCCCAGCACCCTTGGTCGCTCATAACCACCTGTACCTCCAGTTCCAGCGGGCCTGACCCCTCTCTTCTGGCCTCCAAGGGTGCATGCACACGTGCCCAGATGGAGCAGGCAGGACACTCACACACACAAAACAAACAACAAGAGGAGGAGACATTCTCACCTGGAGATTTACAGCATAAAATAAAATGAACAGCCTTTCAAGATACGTGCAGACATTAAATACATGCAACCCCTGACCCTTACAACAGATGTGTGTGTGTGCGCATGTATCAACGGAACACTGCCAAGTGAATTGGGACCATTAGTTTGATACAAGTGCAGCAGTGAGAAACGTCACAAAAAGCCCACGGTATAGGAGCTCAGCGCTGGGCAGGCTTCCAGGCCCAGCGCCCTCCGGCCCTTGCCATCTACAGACCTGAGTATCCGTACATTTCACGCAGCATTGGAAGCAGGTGGGTGGTAACGCTAAAAAAATAATAATAAAAATAAAAAACCCAGATTCTGTGCCTCCCTGCCATCCAACAGGAGATGGTCTTATTTACTTTATCATTTGAACAGGTTGGGGGCTTGAGGTAATTTGGCAAGCCTGAATCTCATGTAGAAACACCCATGGTAAGCAAAATGTGCTAACATATAAACCTGTTAAGGAAGAAAATATTTCTGACAGGGGTTCTTGACATGCCTTTTTTGTTGTTATTTTGTTATTTTAGTTTTAAGACGGGGTTTCTCTGTGTAGCCCTGGCTGTCCTGGAATGGCTTTGTAAGCCAGGCTGGCCTCGAACTCACAGAGATCCTCCCTCCTCTGCTGCACCCAGCTTGAGATGCCATTTTAAAAGCACATACTTAAATTTAATAAATTCAGACAATTAAAATTACAAGTTAACAGGCTGGACAGACGGCTCAGAGGTAAAGAGCACTGTCTGTTCTTCCAAACGACCTGAGTTCAATTCCCAGAAACCACATGGTGGTTCACAACCATCTATAATGAGATCTGGTGCCCTCTTCTGGCATGCAGGTTCACATGCAGACAGATACTGTATACATAATAAATCTTTTTAAAAAACACACACACTCAAATAAAAATTACACTGAAATTTCCAGAAGTAAAAATAATTAGCCATGTGGAAAAAGAATCACTTTGTTAAAAACACTTGAAATCCAAAATTGTCTTTAAGAAAAAGAGAAATATAAATATTCTACATGACAAAGGATATATCATTTACAAACTGTCTCTTAAGAATAAGTGGCAGCACGTGCCTTTAGCCCCAGCACTCTGGGAGGTAGAGGCCAGCCTAGTCTACCGAGCAAGTTCCAGGAAAGCCAGGTCTACACAGAGAAACCCTACCTTGAAAAACAAAACAAAAACAAGAAAAGCGGGCTGAAGAGACGGCTCAGCAGTTGAAAGCACTGCTTGCTCTTGTTAGACTAAGGGCTCAGGTCCCAGCACCCACATGGTGGTTACAGCTTCAGGGGATCCAGCAATCTCTGGTCTCTGAAAGCACACACATATATGTAAACAATTTAAAAAAACAAAACAGCAACAACAACAACAACAAAAACAACTTGCTAGGTATGGTATGGAACACCTTGAATCCCAGGACTCAGGAGGCAGAGGCAGGTGGATCTGTGTTCTAGGACAGCCTGGTCTACAGAGCAAGTTCCAGGACAGCCAGGGCTACACAGAGAAACCCTGTTGTCTCGAGAAAAAAAAAAGAAAACAAAAGTTTGTTTGTTAACAGGCATTAAACTAGGGTAATTACTGAATCATTCAAGAGGCTACTCCGGGCATCTCATCGTGGAACCGTAGCTAAACCTAATGAAGACGGCCAGCCACAAAAACCACAGGAAGGGAGGGCGCACGCTCAACGGCACAGGGAACGGGGGTCACGGTCATGTGCACTGGCTCTACTTTCTACTAGACAGGGTTAGGAACTTTATGCAGTCTTCTCTTACACATTGTCAATGTGACAATGTTACGCTTATGGAAAACAGATAAAAATAAGTATCTCCCTTCCAGCTTAGAGTACTAGAATGAGCACAAGCATTTCCCCAGTTCAGTCACACAGCAGGTCTGCACACTGTGCACTGCCAGCACAGTGAAAACTGCAGGCTAACCGATGAGATGGGTGTGACGTGCACTTTAGTGCTGGGCTCCATACCATCTAAAAGCCAGGAGCTGCTATGGCCCGCAAGCCCTGCTGCACACACCGGAACCCAAAGGCACGCAGGGAGAAAGTGCATCGCACTCCCCCAAGTAACACAGCGGGTCACAGGCGGCCACTAAGCACCAGGTTGACCCTCAAGCCTTTTCCACTCAGGCTCTACCCTTTTTTTGTTGTTTTGAGACAGGGTTCCTCTGTGTAGCCTTGACTGTTGTGGACTTGCTCTGTAGACCAGGCACTCACAGCAATCCACCTGCCTCTGCAAAGCACTGCACCCCGCTAGGCTCTACCTCCTTTGTCTCCACTGCACCAAGGAACCACCATCTGACACGTGGCTCCAGGGCAGGCCCGGCCCAGGGCAGGTTCGCACATCTCTAAAGAGGCACTCTGCACACGGCCTACAAAGGGAAAGTGACCACCACACTACTGCTTAATATGAGAGTGAACGGAAAGTGCCTACTTGCTGCTGGGGCGTGGTGTGCACACCTTCAGCCTTGGCACAGAAGCAGGCCTGAGTTTAAGGATAACCTGGTCTATGCAGTGAGCTCCAGGACACCAGGCCTATAGAGAGACCCTATGCCTACCCCCCAAAAAAAAAGAGAAAAGGAAGAATATTAAAAAGTAGGGCGGAAAAGGAACTGTTCTTTTGGAATAAGACAAGTTCACCTTCCCTTAATCTTCCGGCACAAAACCCCAAGGACCAGAAGGGAGTGTGCTCTGGAGGCAGAGGCACTGCCCTGGCAGCAGGCTCCAAGTGCCCGGGCAACCCCCAGCCTCGGATGATGCATTTCTTCGCTGCCTGTACTTGAGGGCACTAGTTAGGTGCGTTATTCGTGGCTGTACTACAGGGGAGCCCTTGCGAAGGCTCTAAGCCTGTATCCGTGGGCTGACTGTACTGTTCAGTCGTGACCACTTTTCACTAAGGCTGAGCTGCCCAAATAAAGGAGGTAAGACTAACTTTGTCCAAGGTCTGCCTGCAATCAGAACTCACAGAAACTATGGCAGGCCTTCCCAACAACTTCCTGGCAACTTCGAGCTTGCCTGAAAAATAGCGGAGTTGTCAGGAATGCAGTCAGGAACAGATCAAGTTACCTGGGTCAGGTGGGGCTCTGACACAGGATTCTAACCAAATTCACTAGACAGTCAACTACTTGAAAAGAGGCTGGAGCAACAAAAGGAGGTAAAACAACTTCCAGGTCCTCAGTCACAGACGGGCGAGAACAGAGGCAGAAGAACAGACAGGAGGAGGGCACCTGCAAGAGCGGGCATTAGACCGGCATGACAGAGGGACGTCAGGCTCCAGGCCCCAAGTCCAACCCCTGGAACCTACACGGGCACGGGAAAGCCAACTACTAAAAGTTGCCTCTGACCCATCCGTTCACAGGCATGCGCGCACTCACGCACACACAGTGCACGTGCAACCGAGACAGCACAGTGTTGAAAGTCTGGTAAGAATCCACAGTCACCTGACTCACCCTAATATCAAAGTAAAATTCCTGTCTCCCACCGCACAGATGGCCTGAGAGAAAGCTTCTAAAATAAATAAATAAATAAAATATATATGGGTGATTAGCCAGCCGGGCAAGATGGCACAAGAACAGTAATCCTACCATTGTGGGGGCTGAGGCAGGAGGATCACTTCTTCAAGTTCAAGACCAGCTTAGGCTACACAGTGAGACTCTGTCTCAAAACCCTTTTACACCGAGTGATGGTGCAGGCCTTATCCCAGCTCTCCAGACGCAGAGGCAGGCAGACCTCTGGTGGACAAAGCAAGTTCCAGGAAGGCCAGGGCTACACAGAGGAAAACCAAAAATAAAATGAAGAGGGGGGAAAAACTCTTCTAAGTGATTAATAAAATCATCTTGCCAGGCACGGTAGCACACGCCTATAATCCCTGCACTTGAGGAGGCAGAGGCAGAGACAGAGGCAGACTGATCTCTGTGGGTTCAAGGCCAGCCTGGTCTACAAATCCAGTTCAGGACAGCCAGGGCTACACAGAGAAAACAAAAGTAAAATAAAACTATTCCCTCCTTCCATCGGAAACCATGTCATAAACCATTCACACGGCTTCCTGGGGTGCTGGAATCCTATCTGCTGCTAGGTGAACTGCTTGCTGTTTCTGTTAACAAATCAGAGTGGGATTGAGAACTAGTCCCGGTCAGTTCCTCAATGGCTGATTGACACAAGAACCTGAGCACTGTCATACCTGCCCACACCTTGGTCAAGTGCTTAGTTGCAAAATAAAAAAATTTTAAAATTCCTAAGACACACAATAGGAAATGGAGCAATAGGTGAAGTCATCTGCCACTCTGGTCCTACTCAACGAAGTCACTGCATGCGGTCCCTAACCATTAGGAGCCTCCAAAAACAACACCCAACCCGCTCGGATCTGGGCCTGTCATTCAGCACGGTGACCCGGGAAGCCCTGCCGCGTTACACCAGTGCAGATCCAGCTGGATGGAACACAGCACCAAACACGACACAAATGGAAAACTCCAGAGAACAATGCATCTCAAGCCGAGCTCTGAGCAGAGAACTTTGTAAGACCACCGGGAGGAGCTTTTGCAACTAAATGTTAGTACAAGATCGTTTTTAAAGCTAACCTCTAAGCTCGCTTGCCTGGCGAGGTGGCGCATGACTTTAAGCCACTGCCGAGTCAGAGCCATGCGAATCTCTGTGAGTTCCAGCCCAGCCTGGTCTACACAGCAAGTTCCAGACCAAGGCTATACAGTGAGACCCTGTTTCAAAAAAAAAAAAAGCTAGGCTTACTTAACGAAGCCCTCCACCCCGGCGCGTTTCTCTATTAGGCTGTACCCCCTTTCTTTGCACGCATAGACCCCCGCACCACTATTACACACACATCAGATCGGACAACGTGGCAGTAGATCCACCGAGGCAGAATCACACAAGCGTGACCCAGTCCATTCGGCTGAGGACCTGGCGGGCACCCCCGCCGGCAGCGCAGGACGCGGTCAGCCCGCTCGCCCAGAGGACCGCGATGCGCCTCGCCAGACTCAGCAAGTAGATTAACCCGGCCCGGGGAAGGCGCGGTGACCGCCTTCCTCTCCCCAAGTTGGCAGCGCCGAGAGTAAACAGGGAGAACTCATTCAACGACTCCCTGACGGCCTAGCGTGCAGACAGACGTGGGAGGCGAGCCACGACGCCGCGGAGCAAGGCAGAGCAGAGTTCACAGACGGCCAGGTAATCATTACCAGCTCCGGCCGCCGGCCCGCACCCGGGCCTCCTGCTTGGAGTCGGGGGGTCGGGCCGGCCAGGGCCCCGGCCTTCCCAGCAGGCCCGGGGAGCCGCTAACCAGCCGGGCCTGGCACTCCAGCGCCCGTCCACAGGGGGGCCGGGGGGGGGGGGGGGGAAGCGTGCAGCAGCGGCCCAGAAGCCATGTGGCTGGGGTGGGGGGTCGCCGCCCGGAGCCCGTGCGCGTCCGAGGTGGTTCCCGGGGAGACGCAGAGGGCGGGATGTTGGGGTGCGGGACTCACTTCCTCTGGGCTTTGTCCTTCTTGGCCTTGGTCCTTTTCTTTCGGGCCTGGAGCGCGAGCACTGCGGGAGAGAGGGATGGATGAGGGGCCGGTGGAGGAGGGAGGCGGGGAGCGGCGCGAGAGCGCGGGGCGACGGGGCCTGCGGACGCCGGCTGAGCGCGGGGCCGGCCGCCCGGGGTGCACGGCGGCCGCCGGGCCCGGCGCGCCCGCAGGG